TTGAATACCTCTCCCATAGGGCTATGATCTCCAGTTTTCCTCTTGGTTATCCAGGACTTAGCAGAATCCCTGACACACAGTAGATGCTCTTAATTCTAATGCCTTTCCTCTATTGATTAGGTCCTATTTATCATGTATGGGCCACTAGTGGCATGGTGGGTAGAGTGCCTAGCCTCAGACACTTGGTAGCTGTGTGACTTTGGGCAAATCACTTAACCCTGTTTGCCTCAGTTTCCTCATCTGTAAAATGATCTGGAGAAGGAAATAGCAAATTATTCCAGTATCTTTGCATAGAAAACCCTAAACAGGGTCACAGAGAGTCAGAGGTGACTCAACAGTATTTATCCTGTATATAGCTTACTTTGTATATATTTGTTTGCATGTTGTCACCCCCATGGGATTGTAAACTCCTTCAGGGCAGTCACCTTCATGAGATTATAAACTCTTTTTGCCTCTTTTTGTGTCCCTATCACTTAGCATAATGCCTGGCACATAGTAAGTGTTTAATAAATGTTGATTGATTGACTGATCATCTGTCAAAGTAGCTACTTTGGTTTGTCCAAGCTAAAAGGAACTAGCTGTACAGGCCCTACTGGTAATTGTTCTGCAACTTAAAAGTATGATGGGGTAGGATTCTGCCATCTATCCCTTTGTCTCTGCTCACACAACAAGCATCATAAATCAGGTTCTCATCACCTCTCAAGTGGATTACTGAAATAGCCTTCTTATTGTCTCCCTGCTTCCATTCTCTCTTATCCCCTATCCTAAGCAGCTAGGTGGCACAGTGGATAGAGAGGTAGGCCTGGAGTCAGGAGGACCTGAGTTCAAATGTGACCTCAGACACTTACTAAGCTGTGTGACTCTAGGCAAGTCACTTAACCCTGTTTACCTCGGTTGCTCATCTATAAAATGAGGTGGAGAAGGAAACGGCAAACCACTCTAGTATCTTTACCAAGAAAATCACAAATGACAACACCAAGAGTCAGACACGACTGAAAAAAAACTCAACAACCTCTCTGATCCATTTAATCCACCTAGCTGTCAAACAGGCATTCCTAAAGTACATGTCTGACCATGGCATTCCCTGCTCAAGGAGCTTCATGCCATGCCATTGCTTTTTTTTTAAAAAAAGAAGCACTTCTGTTTAGCCTTTAAAGCTTTCACTGCCTGATTCAAGTCTATCTTCCTAGGCTTGTTATACATCAGTCTCCCTCACACACTCACACTTTGGTCCCATTGATTTTTTTTTTAATCTCATTTCCTTTATTTTTTTTCCTTTTTTTAAATATAAATTTATTTATTTTTAGCTTTCAACATTCACTCCCACAAGTTTTTGAATTCCAAATTTATACCCCATCTCCCCCGCTCCTCCCACCCCAAGATGGTATGCATTCTGAATATCCCTTCCCCTAGTCTGTCCTCTCTTCTATCTCTCTCCCCTTCTCTTATCCCCTTCCCCTTCTATTTTCCTGTAGGGCAGGATAGACTTCTGTACCCCATTTCCTGTATTTCTTATTTCCCAGTAGCATGTGAAAACATTTTTTTAAACATATGTTTTCAAAACTTTAGGTTTCAAATTTTCTCTTCCTCCCTCCCCACTCACCCTCATTGAAAAGGCAAGCAACTCAATATAGGTTGTACATGTGCAGTTATGCAAAACACATCCATAGTAGACATGTTGTGAAAAACTAACTCTATTTCCCTTAATCCTATCCTGCCCTCCCATTTATTCTATTCTTTCTTTTGACCCTGTCCCTCCTCAGAAGTATTTGCTTCTGATTACCCTGTTTCCCAATCTGCCCTCCTCTCTATCATCCCCCTGCTCTCTTGTCCCCTTCTCCCCTATTTTCCTGTAGGGTAAGACAGATTTCCATACCCAATTGAATGTGTATGTTATTCCCTCCTTAAGCCAAATCCTATGAGAATAAGATTCACTCATTCTCTCTCACCTTCCCCATTTCCCCTCCACTGTAAGAGACTTTTCTTTTCTGTTTTTTTTTGTGAGATAATTTACCCCATTCTACCTCTCCCTTTATTCTTCTCCTAGTATAATCCTCTCTCATCCCTTAATTTTATTCTCCAGATATGACCCCTTAATCTTCAACTCACCCTGTGCCCTCTCTCTATCTATCTACATATACATACATATAATTTTTTTCCTCCAACTACCCTAATACTGACAAAGGTCTCATGAGTTATAAATATCATCTTTCCATGCAGGAATGTAAACAGTTCAATCTTAATAAGTCTCTTATGATTTCTCTTTCCTGTTTACCTCTTCATGTTCCACTTGAGTCCTGTATTTGAAAGTCAAATTTTCTATTCAGCTCTGGTCTTTTCATCAAGAATGCTTGAAAGTCCTCTATTTCACTGAATGACCATTTTTTCCCCTGAAGGATTATACTCAGTTTTGCTGGGTAGGTGATTCTTGGTTGTAATCCTATCTCCTTTGCCCTCCTGAATATTATATTCCATGCCCTGGTCCTTTAATGTAGAAGCTGCTAAATCTTGTGTTATCCTGATTGTGTTTCCACAGTACTTGAATTCCTTCTGGCAGCTTGTAATATTTTCTCCTTGACCTGGGAACTCTGGAATTTGGCTACAATATTCCTAGGAGTTTTCCTTTGGGGATCTCTTTCAGGAGGAGATCTGTGGATTCTTTCAATTTCTATTTTGCCCTCTGGTTCTAAATATCAGGGCAGTTTTCCTTGATAATTTCTTGAAAGATGATGTCTAGGCCTTTTTTTGATCATGGCTTTCAGATAGTCCAATAATTTTTAAATTCTCTCTCCTGGATCTATTTTCCAGGTCAGTTGTTTTTCCAATGAGATATTTCACATTGTTCTAATTTTTCATTCTTTTGGATTTGTTCTACTGTGTCTTGATTTCTCATAAAGTCACTATCTTCCAATTGCTCTATTCTAATTTTTAAGGAAGTATTTTCTTCAGTAATCTTTTGGACTTCCTTTTCCATTTGGCCAATTTTGCTTTTTAGGGCATTCTTCTTCATTGGCTTTTTGGACCTCTTTTGCCATTTGGGTTAGGCTTTTTTTAAGGTGTTATTTTCTTCAGTATTTTTTGGGTCTCCTTTAGCAAGCTGTTGACTTGTTTTTCATGATTTTCTTGCATCACTCTCAGTTTTTCCTCTACTTCCCTTACTTGCTTCTCAAAATCCCTTTTGAGCTCTTCCAAGGCCTGGGACTGATTCATATTTTTCTTGGAGGCTTTGGATGTAGGAGCTCTGACTTGTTGTCTTCTTCTGGTTGTATATTTTGATCTTCTTTTCACCAAAGTAAGATAATATAGTCTGACTGTTTTTGCGCTGCTTGCTCACGATCCCAGCCAATTACTTGAGTTTTAAACTCTTTGTTAAGGTAAGAGTCTGCTTCCAATGTGGAGAATGTATTGTCCCAAGCTTCAGGGGTTTGTAAGCTGTTTTCAGAGATACTTGTAGGGACCTGTAAATTTTCAGTTCTTCCAAGGTGGTATGATATGGGGCAAGGTGTTTACTCCTTTCCTGGCCTGTATTCCTTTCTGTCCTGTAACTGTGAGGAGGGTTCCTTTCCACAGCCACTCCAAGCTGTACCATGCCAGCGTTCCTCCTCACCCTAGCACCACCACCCAGAACTGTGACCCAGATCCAAACAGGGGCAAAGCAAGAGATTCCTGCCTCAGCACTGGCAAAGAGATCCCTGCAATCCCCCTCTGATCAGCCACTCGATTCCCCCTCAGACTGTGGGCCAGAAGCTCAGGAGGCAGCTGTCCCCCCAGGGCCACACTCTCTGAGCAGCCACTGGATTCCCCCTCTGTCTGTGGGCCGGAAGCTCGGGAAGCAGCTGCCCCCCCACCCAGGGCCATGCTCCTGGGGAATGGAGCTGAAACCCCACCTTCCTGTCTCAGTACCGACAGAAACAGACTTTTGCCACTGACCTTCTAAGTTGTCTTTGGCATTCGTGGATTGAGAAGTCTGGAAACCTCCACAGCTGCCCACGATTCAGTCCTCTGAGGCCTGTTCCAGGTTCACTGCGGCCTGTGTGCCCACGCTATACTGCGCTCCCAGCCCGGCCCGATACACCTTTCTGATCAATCATTCAGGTTGTCTTGGGCTGGAAATTTGTTTCACTCTGTTTTTTTGTGGGTTCTGCTGCTTCAGAATTTGTTCAGAGCCATTTTTTACGAGTATTTGGAGGGGTTTTGGGGAGAGAGCTCAAGCAAGTCACTGCTTTCACTCCGCCATCCCCCATTGATTTTGTATGCATGACATTCCATCTCCTGAGTCTGTGATTTGCACAGGCCACCCCTTGTGCCTAAAATTTTTTCCCTCCTCACCTCTGTCTCTTGGAATACCAGTCTCCTTTGGGGATCAAACCCCACTTCCTTCAAGAGGTCTCTCTTAAATTCCTCGGTTGTTAGTGTGCCCCACCCTACCCCACCTCCATCACTTTGTGGTTTTGTATATATTCTGTTATTTATCTGTATATATTGTTATTTACTTCTCCCTCTTATGCTACATCTCTTCAGTAGATAGAATGTATGCTCCTTGAGGGCAGAGACTGTCTCATTTTTGAATCTGTATCCTCAGGGCCTGGCCTTAATAAAGACTTAATAAAGACTTGGTTGTTTGGAGGGAAAAAAAGAAAAAATGAGCTCAGTGAACAGCTAGACCATTTTGGCTGAGATGTAAAGTGGACGCAGAGGAATGGTATGAGATGGGGTCCAGAAAACTAGCTTTGTGGTTCTTACTTTGTGTTTCTACCTCAACAAATGGTAGGTTTTTTCTTTTCCAGGTACTGCCGTTACAATAGTCCTTCAGGTGGCCTTCCCTTGTGGTCTGGATTTGAAGTCCTTTATCTCTCATTTCAGCCCATTCTACCTCTGTATTAAAAGATTGCATGGCAGATTCAGGTCATCACTAACATGGAACCTAAAAAGTATGCTGCTATTTGTCTCAGTCCCCAGAAGTGTCTTCATTCCATGACCTTTACCTGTTCTCCCCACAGAAACCCAATGATCGTGATCACAGAGTGAGAATGGCAGTGGGTAATGGCTTGCGAGAAGATATTTGGAGGGAATTCATCCGCCGATTTGGAGACATTCATATTTATGAATTCTATGCCTCCACTGAAGGAAATATAGGATTTTTAAATTACCCAAGAAAGATTGGTGCTGTGGGAAGACTAAACATTTTGCAGAAGGTAAGAAGAAAAAATAATGAGGACAATAAATGGATTTAGTAAAGACTTATCTAAGGATACGCAAGACCTCTTTAAAGACAATTTTAAAACTTGGATGTCCAAACTTAAGGAAGACCTGAAAAACTGGGCAAACAATTGATGTTCATGTGTGGGCCAACTTCATATAGTAAAAATGATAATAGTTCCCCAATTTAATTTACTTTTAATGCACTACCAATAAAAATATCAAGGGGCTTCTTAATAGAACTAGATAAACATAATGCAATATATATTGAAAAACAAGTGGAGGCCAGGTGTGACACACAGCTGTAGTCTCTGTCCTGAGAGGTTGAGGCTGGTGGATCACGTGAGGTTGGATGACCTGAGCTACACAGGGCGATAGCCATTTGAATGTGTAAAGTAAAGTGGCACCCATATGGTGAGTCTCCATCAGCAAGGGGCTAGCAGGCCACCTAAGGAGCCAGCCCAGGTTGAGAGTGGAGCATGTCAAAGGTTCTGTTTCTGGTCAGTAGCGAATAGCTGGTGTGCTTCTAATCTGTGAAGCATAGGAAGACCCAGTCCGAAAAAAGAGAAAAGAAAGGAGAGAGGGAGGAAGGATGGAAGATCAAAAATATTGAGGGGCACCTGGAATAGAAAAGCTAGTGAAAGTGGTTTTGTACCATAATACTTTCTGAAACATTACAGAAGGTGAAAAAATTATTTCAAGCCTCTATGATTAAAGCTAACTTTCAGATATTTCTTTGGGACTATTTCAGAATCACTTTATCCTCAGAACATGACAATTGCTGTACTACATCAACTCAGGCCAGTAGTCTGTCTCTGACAGTGGCATCAAGAGATATATTATAAAAGGTCCTAGATGTTTTCCATCATGCCAACCTTGAAAAGTTAAGGATAGGCTCCTTTCCCATTGTGTGCCCCCATCTTAATTTTCATTTATAACTAACAATGGATCTATCATTCATCAATTTGTCTAAAACATTACTAAATTATTGTTTGTATTTCTAGACTGTAACATTTCTTGATACCTCTTGAGAGGTGGTAAGGAGTGGTAGATAGAGTCATAAAGACCAAAATTGAAATCTTTCCTCTGTGTAGCCAGGATACAATTCATGCATCTTCTCAATGTCAAAGTAGCTTTCTAAGACTATAAGTTGGAGAAGAGTTGCCAATCTACACTGACGGATGGACTTTTCCCTACCAGGAATTCCCCATACCAATAAATTACAGGTCCAGACCAAAAAACCAGAAACAAAAAACCCATTTCTTAAGGTAGAAAAATCCTATAGGTTCATAACTTTCTCTATTAAGTAATACTTACTGATCCTAAATGTACTTCTTTCAAGCTTCAAAGTAACTTTATCCTTAGTTCTGGTGACCTGGTATTTGGTGAGCAAGTCTGTATTCAGCCATTAAGACTGTAGTCTGGAATTGTACCCCACTCCCCTTAAGTCATCATCTCTTCAGACTGGAAAGTGCTGGTTTTTGTCAGACCACTCTTTAATATCAGACCTTCCTTTCCCTAAGTTGTTTGGTACTAAGATCGTAGATCTAGAATTAGAAGAGATCTCAGAGGTCATGCAGTCCTACCTCCTTACTTTACAAATGAAGAAACAGAGTTCCAGGTAACACAGGTAGTAAGTGTCAAAGGCAGGAGTTGAACCCAGGTCTTCTGACTCCAACGCCATTGCTTGGTGTATTGTACCACACCATCTCCCCTCACCCATCCCCCCAAGTTCTCTTTACCTCCTAGGGCAGGTTCCCCACCCCTGAAAGATAGGTGACACTTTGTCAATCTGAAATTGAAGGGAAGGGCACGCTAAGGAGAGGTTCTGGTATGAGCATAGGAACAAAAATGGGAAGTATGCAGGGTGGGGGGAGAGAGAGAACAGTGAGTAATTCAGCTTGACAGGACTCATGAATGCCTGAAAGGAAGTTATGGGAAATTATGTGATGCTCATTGTAGGGGAGGGAGACTCATTCCTGACAATGCTAAACTCTGGGTGGCAGAATGTCAACATAGATGTGTTCAGAAATAAAAAAAAAATCTACCTGTGAAAGAAATCATGCTCAAAATGACAATTCATTCTATTTTTGCTAGAAAGCTGTTTCATATGAGTTGATTAAATATGATGTAGAAAAAGATGAACCTGTCCGAGATGGAAATGGATACTGCATAAAAGTTCCCAAAGGTACCACTGACTTTTATTAAATTAATCTGCCTAGGCAAGTCACTTAACCCTGTTTGTCTCAGTTTCCTCATCTGTCAAATGAGCTGGAGAAGGAAATGGCAAACCACTTCAATATCTTTGCCAAGAAAACCCCAAACGGGTCACTAAGAATCAGACATGACTGAAATTACTCCATAACAGGTTTGGATGTAAACTATGAGGCAATAGTCAAAAAATATTGAAGTGCCTACCATGTTCCAGGCACTAAGCTAAGTGCTTGGTAAAAATGATCTGAAAGTCCCATCATTAGATCTAAGCTAAACAGCATTAGGGGAGGAATCCTCAGCGATTACTCCAGTACTCTTGGAAAGAAAACAGTCACCAACAAGGGGACAGGCCCATCCTAGCTCTTTTTACAGCAGACATGTACTAGGATTTGTTTGCACTGTTCAGAGCTAATGTGAAATGCGTAATTGGTAGTCTTTCAAACTGCTTTGTGTTCCAGTTGGGTTTATATGTCAGCGTCCTAGAAGATTATTATTATTGAAAGTTATTGAAGTTATGAAATAAACAAATGAATGAATTAAGTAAGCAAGTAATCCATAGTTCTCTTATCTGTCAGAATGCCTTTTAAGGAGCTTCAGGGTAGAACAAATGTAGCATAAGCTATATCACTTTGGAAATAAGGGTTTCATTTAAGTTTTAAGGATCATAAATGAAATGCCAAAAGCTACCAAGTACAATAAAGTTATTCTTTTACCCCTTATTTAATGGATGCTTATAAATGTCACAAACTGAGAAAAAGTAGTCTTTAACTTTTAACATCAAACTGTCTTATATTATCGATAATGTTTACAAACTGATTATTTTTTGCAATAACAGATAAAAATTAATAGAATTACAGATGTATACTGGTGTAGCTATGCCTGTCCCTTCACACAGGTTCAGATCTCACCTCTGCTTCTAACTATGTGAGCATGGACAAGTCACTTAACTTTTAAGCCTTTTACCTTACCTGTGAGAAAAAGGGTAATAAAATCAGGTTCCCATTAGGGCAAATAGTGAATCCCCTCAAGTGGTGACATGATTTGAATTTGCACTACATTATTTCCATTGGGCTGGAACCAGTTACCATAATTATAACTTCAAATAGTATGAATTCAAATATATTCATGCCCACTTCAGGAGACTCATTATTTGCACTACACAAGACCTCACTGTAATAACACTGACCTCTCAGAATTATCAGGAGGATGAACTTAGGTAATATCAGTAAGGTGGTTTGCAAACCTTAAAACACAATAGGAATATCAGCCATTGTTGTGACCATTGTTGTTATAGAATCAAGCCTGGTGCCACACTCTTCATTTGACCTTAACCAAAGGGCCAGTTGATGGTGAAATTTGACAATGGTGAAAATACCTGCTTTTCTCCTTCTTCTGTAATCTTAGGTGAAGTAGGCTTATTAATTTGCAAAATCACAGATCTCACACCATTCAGCGGCTATGCTGGAGGAAAGAGTCAAACAGAGAAGAAAAAGCTAAGAGATGTCTTTAAGAAAGGGGATGTCTATTTTAACAGCGGTGACCTCTTATTAATTGACCGTGAAAACTTCATCTACTTCCATGACAGAATTGGAGATACTTTCAGGTTGGTTTCTATTTATTATTGGACAAAATAAACTAAAAAAAAAACTGTAAAATTAGAATTGTAATTTTTAACCTACATTGGTATTTAGTCACAGGGAAAAGGTCTGGAAATAGGATTTCATTGGTATAGGGAATTTTTAAGTGGGGGATTCGATTTACCAATGCAGGTTAGCGCTGCAGCTTTTCTAGTATTAGAGAACTGTCATAAAGAAGATACCTTACAGACAATGACTTGCCCAGGGTCATCCATATAGTTGTATATATAAACTATGGACAAAATCAATCTATGGTGATTTTTGAAGAGAAGGCACTAGCAGCTGGTGGAATTGGGAAAGGTTCCTCATGGAGAAGGTGAGCTTTGAAGGACCCTGGAGTTCTAAGAGATTGGGAGGAGGAGGCGAATGTGCTTTCCAGGCAGGGGAGAGAAGGGCACATAGAGGGGAGATAAAGTATCTCGCGTGAAACTTCAGGAAGGTCAGTTTGGCTGCACTATATAAAGGAAAGTAATGTATAATAGAGACTGAGACAGGGGTGCAGAACCTGTGGCCCTCTAGGTCCTCAAGTGTGGCCCTTTGACTGAATCCAAACTTCACAGAACAAATCCCCTTCACAAAAAGATTTGTTCCATAATACTTGGACTCAGTAAAAGGCTGCACTTGAGGACCTAGAGGGCCACATGTGGCCTCAAGGCTGCAGGTTCCCTACACCAGTCTGGGAGTTTCCAGAGTGATTATGAAATAAGATCAGGCCAAGCCAGACCAGACCCTACCCTAACCGCACAGATATATAATGGAAAGTGACAAATGTATTACCATAAATTTAGGCAGAAATTAACCTCCCCTCTTTCTTTCCCAAATCTAGGTGGAAAGGGGAAAATGTGGCAACCACGGAAGTCGCAGATATCGTGGGACTGGTTGACTTTGTCCAAGAAGTTAATGTTTATGGCGTGCCTGTACCAGGTACATGCAAAAACCATTTGGAAAACTTTAACTAAGCTTCTAGACAAATGGAACATAGTTTTAACCCTGGGACAGAATTTGCCATCTATTCCCTAAAAACTATCCAGTGAAGCATTTCTTTTCTTTCAACATTGTATAGGGACTAGACGCAGGCCAAATGTAGCCTCAAGGCCACAGATTCCCCACCCTGACCTAACCTCTTTCTGAGTCTGGGTTTTTTTTTCCATTCTGTAAAACGAGAGGGTTGGAGCAGATGATGTTCAAGATCACTTGCAATTCTAAAACAGGGCAGAAGTGTGGGGGTGAAAAATCAAGGAATGTTTCCTTTAACTTTTCACACCTAAACATGAAGGCAGAAGAGTAGAGCAAGGAGAAAAGAGAGAGAAAAGGTCCCTTTCTTTCCCAGCAGGTCCACCAGGCACATGACACACTGACTCACCACCCCAAGTTATTACTCTAGGGCATAGTACCATTCATTTATTTGCCTCCCTATGAGCAGTATTTTGTGATTCTTACTTGTTTTGCAAGCAAGAATCCAAAGTTCTCTTTTTTTCCTGAGCAGTGGTAAGATTGATATGCTAATGATTAACACTTGATGTAAGCTTTGAAGTTTGCAAGACACTTACTTCAAAGTTGTAGGGGTAAAGGGTGCAAATATTATGTGTTATTTTGGCCATTTTACCTCTGGGGAACCTGAAGCCTTACAAGATTAAGTGACTGATCTATGGCCCCACACACCTAAGGCAGGTTTCCCAAGGTCTCCTGACTCCAAATCTAGTAGGAAAACCACTGGACTAGGCGGCTTCTCAAAATCAAACAAACAAACAAACGTTCTAGAGTCGCTCTTGTCTGCCAGATCCTCATTTCATGGTAGAAATTATAACTGTGTCCCAGGCAACTGAGATTTAAGAGAACCTAGAAGAAAAAGAATCCTAACGTAGAAGAGAATATACTTAGGTAGCTAATTAAATCTTAGCCCACTTAAGTATTAACTGAAATATAGTGTTCAGATTTTGGGAATTAATTGTTGTTCAGTCATTTTTCAGTTGTGTCCGACTCTGCATGACCCTATTTGGGCTTTTCTTGGCAAAGATACTAGACCGGTTTGCCATTAACTTCTCCAGCTCATTTTGTAGATGAGGAAACTGAGGCAAACAGGATTAAGTGACTTACTCAGAGTCACACAGATAGTAGATATCTAGGGCTGGATTTGAACTCAGGGAGATGAGTCTTCCTGACTCAGGTCCTGCACTCTATCCACTGTGTCACCTAGCTGCCCATCGAAATTAATAGTCCCATTTTATTCTCATAGGTGGTATGGAAAAAGAGCTTCATTTTGAGATCTGGGTTTGAATCCAAACTCTGCTATTTACTACTTGTGTGAGCTTGGGCAGATACTAAACCTCTCTGGGCCTCAGTTTCCTCATCTGTAAAGTGAGGAGGTTGGCCTCACTTTCAGCTCTAGGCCATAAGTTTAGGGATGGAGAGGACCCTAAAGGCCATCCAGACCAATCCCTTAACTTTACAGATGAGAAAACCAAGGCTCAGTGGTTCCCCCCCCATAGATAGCAAGTTGGCATGTGATCTCTTCCTCCGATCCCAGTACTATTTATACTACACCTGCCTAGAAGACCATGCTCAGGTCTGACTCACAGCATTTTGAGGTGACTCTAGGTTCTTGTAGCCCATGCCAGTGAAACACAAGTTATACCAGCTCCTAGAAAAACTTCAAACTCAGGTCTTTTGATAAGGACTGTTTGTGAGGACCAGCCTATTTATTCTGAGTTCAAGGCTTATTCCCAAAAGGTTAGCCCACCAGGAAATGACTTCTTTGGCCACAGCAACTCTGTGTGTGTGTGTGTTGTGTGTGTGTGTGTGTGTGTGTTGTTAAGTTTAATAGTATTTTTCCCCAGTTACATGTCAAGAAAATTTTTACCATTCATTTTTACAAGATTTTGAGTTCCAAATTTTTCTCCCTCTCCTCCCCTCTTCAGAAAATGGTGGTCAGTTTGATATAGTTTATACATGTGTTAGCATGTAAAAATATTTCCATATTAATCACAGTTGTGAAAGAAGAAACAGATCAAAAGGAAAGGAAAAAAAACTGTGAGAAAGAATAAATCTGTATTCAGAGTCCATTAAAGTCTCTAGGGCTGTTTAGCCTAGAGAAGAGGTGATTATAGGGAGACATCATTTTTATCTGCATTGTTTGAAGAAGTTGACTTGTTTTGGGGAACAGACCTGGAAATCAGAAGGGCATTTTGCCTCAAAATAAAGAAAAATAATTTTACAGCAACTAAGAATTTTCTGTAGTACAATGAGCTGGCTGCCTTATTGTGGAGTGAGCTGTTCATCACTGAAAATATTTTAGTGGAAGCAGGATAATAATCCATCATGGATTTAAAAGAAGGGATTTCTTCATTGGATGGGAGGTGAGACTAAGTGACTCCCAAAGCCTCTTCTAATTCTAGTCTTCCAAATACCAGGGTATGTGTTACCTGATCTCCAGTCCCCTAGAATTCAGTCCAGGTCTAGACTCATGGTAAAAATACAGGTTGCCACTGGATGCAGATGGCTCTGGAGGACAGAGTGAGGCTAGTGACCTTGCACAGCCCTCGCTCACTTAAATCCAATTCACCTGCAAGTCATAGCATCATCTTCCTGATGTCATGGTCCTCTTTGAGAACAAAGGACAAACAACAGGTCTGGACCATGGCAGTTACCCCATCTTGAGTCATGCTTAATCTAACAGATCCTTGAGAAGCCTCCTTAGGTGTTGAGCCAACATGGAGGTTCTTACCTGCTTTGGGGTACACTTGGCATGGCTTTTTTGGTTCTATCCCTAGCACAGACTTGAACTAGAAGTGATGCCAGAATCCTTCCCAATGAGATCATCTCTGTGGACAGGGGATGACCCCTTGGCCTGGACCAGAACCAAACTGCCTCCTGGGAGGGCAAAGGAAGGGGAGCTGTTAGTGTATACATCCTCTTCCCTATTAGAGAATAATAATTTACATTTATAGGGTACTTTAAGGTTTGCAGAACACCGTATATGTATTATCTCATTACAGTATCAGCAATCCTTATGAGATTAAGTACTATTCCATTTTATAGTTAGGGAAAGTAAATGCCTGACTCAAGCCTCTTCCTCCTCCAGTCCCTCTTCTATTCAGCTACTAAAGTGATTTTCCTAAAGTAAAGGTGCAGTCATGTCACACACACACACACACACACACACACACACACACACACACACACTCTCTCTCTCTCTCTCTCTCTCTCTCTCTCTCAATAAATTCTGGAGCTCCCTATTATTTCCTGGATCAAATACAGAATGCTCCAAATTCGAAATCCTTCATAACCTAGCCCCCTTCCCACTCTGCTTGCACTTTATTCCCCAACACATACTCATTGGCCACAAACAAGACTCTCCCTCTCCCAGCATTTTCTCTGCCTGCCCCCCAAGCCTAGAATACTCTCCCTCCTCATCTCTGCCTACTGTCCTCCCTGGTTCTTTTAAGTCCCTACTACTCATTTGTCCTCTTTGAAAAGGAACAATGAATAACAATCTTGTACAAGAAACCTTTCCCAGCCCCTCACCTTCTCTCTGTTAATTATTTCCTATTTATCCTGTATTTAACTTGCTTTGCATATATTTATGTGTTGTCTCTCCTGTTAGAGTGTAAGCTCTTTGTGGGCAGAGACTGTCTTTTGCCTCTTTTTTGTGTTCCTATCACTTAGCACAGTGCCTAGTGCATATTAAGTGCTTAACAAAGGTTGATTGATTGATTAACTCAAAGAGGTTAAGTGACTTACCCAAAGTCACACAGCTAGTGTCAGGTGGGATTTGAACTTGGGTCTTCTTGGCTTTGTCCAACACTTTCTACTATTGCCATGCTACCCTAGAGAAGCAGAGGGAACTATACTGGTGTATTCTCTCTACATCCAATGTACCTTCATTTCTTCTTTTTTTTTAATTTTTTTTTCAGTTAACAAGCTTTGGAGAGATATTTAGGAGATTGCTAAGAATTGTCTTAAAGCAACTAACTACCTGTAGAAACCAAAAAAAAAAAGTGGGAGGAAAGAGGGTGCTAAGCTTAGCCTTCCCCATTCCTGGTGTTTCTTCTTTGTTTTCTACCTACATTAGAGAAAGAGATAAACACACAATCACCTTGGGAGAGGTTTCCAAAGCCAGGGGCCCTCGTGACCAAAGTAAGCTTGCTTCCCCTTCTCTCTGATTACATATAAATAGTTCAGGGAAGTAGAGCCGACCTCCCCCTGGAACTGTAAAATTGGGTAGAAGCAATATTAATGCCCAATTAATATGGGCCTCACAAGAAAACAATGATAATTGTTCTAAAAACACTTCTCCATTTACTGTCCTGCCTGGTCAAGAGGAAATAAATGCTATTAGGATTGGTTATGGTAATTATCCCAGACACTTCTCCACTTTCCACCTGCTTGATCAAGATTAATCCCTTGCTCTTAGGCCTGGTTTTCTCTAAGGGAATGGTCACCTTATTGTATTAACTTGCTTTACCGTAAGGGCATAAAATAATCCCACCTTCTACTTCACCTTTATTCCCCTCTCCCCTTTGTTGTTGTTCAGTGGTGTCAAACTCTTCATGACCCCATTTGGGGTTTTCTTGGCAAAGATACTAGAATGGCTTACCATTTTCCTTCTCCACCTCATTTTACAGATGAGGAAACTGAGGCAAACAGGGTGAAGTGACTTGCCCAGGGTCACACAGCTAGTAAGTGTCTAAGGCCAGATTTGAACTCAAGTTTTCTGACTTCACGCCTAGCATTCTATTCACTGCACCACCTAGCTGCCTCTATATGATTCTTACATAATTCAAATTCACAGCTTCCTTTATAGTATTATGGTATATTAGTATTGACAATAAAAATTTCACCTATGGTAATCTCTCAGTTATCCATAGCAACTGGAATGTGTCAATAACAGTGACTAATTCCTATGTAATCCCAGAGCTTCATTTTATCCAATGACTGGAATTTTTTCCCTCACCAAACCTTCCATCAGAGCTGCTAATAAAGAGCCAATTTGTCTGGTTTGTATTTAAGTTTCTTTCTTCTGTCCAGTCCTTCCCTGTAGCAGAAATCCTAATGAGATGAGATATAAGAAAAACTTAGAAAGAGAGAGAACTGAAGCTGAAGCTGAAGTCCTAGCTAGCTCATAACTAGGTGGATAATCCGTTTGCTGAATAATTTAGTATACTAAAGACAAAAGGCCAAGATTTCCCACTGCATGGGGGCCATCTCCAGTTGTCCTAATCCAGGGGTGGGGAACCTGCATGTGGGCCCTCTAGGTCCTTGGGTATGGTCTTTTGACTGAGTCCAAATTTTACAGAACAAATCCTTTTATTAAGGAGATTTGTTCTGTGAAGTTTGGGTTCAGTCAAAGGGCCACATGGTTGGCTGCAGGTTCCCCGCCCCTATGTCCTGATCTATATTTTGCCACTCACTGGACCCACATGGCCCTGGAGGAGAAAGTGAGGCTTGTGACTTTGCACAGCCCTCCCTCCAATTCACTTACAAGTCATGGTATCATCTTCCTGACATCATGGAAAGATCCATGAAAGCTGGTAACTGTTCAATGAATGTTGGTTTAAAGGCCCATTCTTTTAGTCATTCAAATGCTTTCCTTTCCCATCATGTGTCAACAAACATTGTTATACTACTTGTCACTCTTTCCCCAGGTCATGAGGGTCGAATAGGGATGGCATCCATCCGGATGAAGGAGAACCATGAGTTTGATGGGAAGAAGCTCTACAAGCACATTACTGACTACCTGCCTAGCTATGCAAGGCCTAGATTCATCCGGCTTCAGGTATGAATGCCAAAGAGGCAACCTTTTCCTAAGGGAAATTCCAGTAAGACCCTGACCCATCCCTTCAAAGTGCCTACATGGCCTGAATGAGGTCAGAAGAATGGATTACTACTTCTCCTTTTGTGTCAAAAAATGCATTGGTTTTGCAAGGAATAGAAAACATATCTGTAAGTAAGTAATTCTGAAACATAGATTCCAGTGCCTGTCTGCCTGGCTAATCCCACTAAATGGCAGACCACAGCTTATTCATTTGGAAATCTCTGCTAGAGAAATGCTTACCTAAAGACTCACTATGCCAGTTTAATTCAATTTGATAAGTATTTATTAAGCCCAGGGTTCATGACCTTTTTTGTTTAAACCCCTTGGGCCAGGGGTGGGGATCAGGCCACAGAGGCCACTGGTTCCCTACCCCTGTCTTGGGCAGTCTCGTAAAACCTATGGACCCCTTCTCAGAATAATGGCTTTAAATGTATAAAATAAAATACATGGGATTACAAAGAAAACCAATTATACTGAAATGTAGTTATCAAAACTTTTTTTTTAAAAAAACAAGTTTATGGACCTCCAACTTGAGAACACCTGACTTAAGCCACTCACTGTAGAGGTTTAGTATTTCTTGCTTCAAGCACCAAAGCAATGAAACATCTGATAAGATCTTTTGACTTTGTACAATGGGAAATTTAACTGTACAGTTTCAGTCATTTGGAACCATTCTAGACTTAATATCTCTAACAGAGGAAAGAAGGTGGATTCTTTCTAGATTGCTTTCAGGACCTTAGCTGGGTTAGCCAATGCTATTAAAGAAAAAAAGTAACAAAAAAGACAAGTGAATGTCCTGGGACCACTTGTACCTAGGTTTATACATTTAGAGTTGGAAGGGACCTCAGACATCATCTAGTCTAACCCTTTCACTCAATTTATAGATGAGACTGGAAGATTAATTGACTTGTCTGGGGTCACATGGTTACTTATTCAAAAAATTATATATATAGAAGACTTGAAGGATTTACGATTTCCATATGGGAGACTCCATCCATAGTGTAGATGGATGACTGTAGGCAAGTTGATTAACTTTTCAATGCCTCAGTTTCCTCATCTGTAAAAGAAGGGAGTTGTGCTAGAGATTTCTGAGGGTTTTTTCCCAGCTCTGAATCTAAGATCTGGAATTTGGAATCAGAGGTCCTGGATTCACACCTCAACTCTGCCACTTATTCATTGTGTGATCCCTTGACTATCAAAGGCCACACCAGTGGATAGCCTGCTTTGGCAGCTCCTCCCAAGTTGGAAGGGTTTTAAGTAAAGTCTGAGGACCAGGAGAGAGATGTTCAGAGAGATTCAAACATAACTCTTAAGCCATTTACTAAGTTAGAGGGAGTTTGCCATCTATGTTGGTGGGTGTAGTACCAACTCTGAGGAAATTATAGCTCCTTGAGGTCTGATGTCCCATAATTGGTTGTTTCTATTGATTAATGAAAAGCACTGGAGAAGGGGCAGCTAGGTGGCACAGTAGATAGAGCTCTGGCCCTGAAGTCAAGAGGACCTGAGTTCAAATCTAGCCTTGGACACTTACTAGCAGTATGACCCCAGGCAAGTCATTTAACCTTAATTGCCTCCAAAAGAAAGAAAAAGAAAAGAAAAGAAGACACTGGAGAGTACTAGATACGAATCATCCTCAGAGTTGGAAAGCTAGGTTGCAAGTCCCCCCTCTTACAAGTGCTGTCTATATGACCTTGGGCAAGTCACTTAACCTCTTAGTGGCCCCAGGGAACTATCTAAGATCTTAAAGAGTTTGCTTTGGGAGAGGTAGTTTCCTCATCCAGGATTTCCCTTTTCCAGCAAAATCACAGGTCTATTCCCTACTCCAAACATCTAGTACATTTCCAGGCATATAGTAGGGATTTAATAAATGCATAAACAAGTTATTGGGTGTTTTTCAGGATACTATTGAAATTACCGGAACTTTTAAGCACCGTAAAGTGAAGCTTGTGGAGGAGGGATTCAACCCTGCTGTCATTAAAGACACCTTATATTTCTTGGATGACACAGAGAAAATGTACATCCCCATGACTGAGGACATTTATAACTCCATAAATAATTACAGTCTGAAACTCTGAATGTTTCTAAGACAGCAGCTAGGCCACAATCTCTGAATATACCCATTTCAGCGTTTGTTATAATCCAATTTTAATTCAACTGAAGATTAGAAAATATAATTTTCTATGAACTGATGCCTACTGTAAGGGAAGAGGCTTTTTTGTTGTTGTTTTGTGTTTTTTTCTTTAAATTTATCTGAACTTTTGCAAATGCAAAGATCTAGAGTTAATTTGTTTTTAAATTTGCACCTACTGTTTGTATTTGCAAACTGGATTTATTGAAGGGAGGGGGGATTTTTTTTTAAATCATAATAAAACAGATCATTAAAGTGTGTGATGGTGCTATTTCTTATGTTCTTTATCAGCTTTATTCCAAATGTAGCCCTCGTGTCAGTTGCATCAATAACATAAAGGACTCCAGTTACTGTTCAAGGGTATTCCTTTGGAATGGTTTGATCTCCAAGCCAGAAACCTAGGGAAATTGTAGTCCTGGGTATCCCAGGAGGTTGACACTAGTTCTTTGTCATTGGCAAAATTAAGCTTTAGTCAAATCAACAGTTAAGTGCATATTGTGCAAATGAGCCAGTCACAGGTGTCCAGGGGCCAGCAATGAACATTTCCTAGTATCATTTTCATTTCTCAATGTTATTTGCGGTTCTGGTTCACAGCTTTAGGGAAGATACAGTTCATACACAGTAGGCCAGTAGATAACATATACTCTTTAGCCCTTAGCTGTGCCATTGCAACTGCTCCTACAAAGCCTAATACTGGCCAAGATCCTTTCTGGCAATCTTGTTCCAGTGATGTTGGCTGGCAAAGTTCCATTGACTGGTAATAAAATCTCCTTGGTATTTTCACTGGGGAGATTTGGAACTTCTCCAAAGTCAACCTAGAGATTAGCACCTTTGGGCTAGTTCTTTTCCCTTTTGTTTGGCTGCCAAAACAGTGATCCTACTCCTACCTGACCACAGATTCCTTTAGGGGACCATGGAATGAGCTGTTTTATAAAAGAGTTCCCTATCACTAGAGAGAGGGGTTCAAACAGAGGCTAATGACAGTTTGTCAGGGATAGCAGAGCTGTCACCACATTTACAGGCCAGGACTGAAATGCCACCAGAATACTGAAATTTTTCCAGAGAAATGCTCTTAATGATACCCAAGTTACATCCTTGGGATTTATTTTAGGGTCAGATAGTTTTCAATACTGTACAGACTCTGGTTATGGGTAAGCCAGATGGGACAAGGTAGTCTTCCCTAGAAAAAACCTTGTAGCATTTTCTTGACTGCAACATGGCATAATCTCCAAATCAGGAAGACCTGGGTTCAAGTTTGAACAATACAGGCTGTGTGAGCCTGGGCAAGTCGATTCTTAGTACTCTCCAGCACTTCCTAAACTGTGGGTCAGGGTCGTGACCCACAGTTTAAGAAGCCCTGCTCTAGGCAACATAATAAGTCCTAGCCTAAGCTGTTGGACATTTTTGGGTTTTGATGGTTCATAGTGAGTGAAAATAGCAATTATTTCTGTTCTGACCAGAAACCCTGAGGGTCTTCTCCTCCCAGATTGACTTTTTTTTTTCTGAGTAGGTAAAAAAAAACCTGTCTTTTGCCTCATTTCTTACCTAGCCTTAATTACTAAATGAGTGCTGCCTTAGTCAAACTGAGATCTGTTAAAGACCTTAGCCTAAAAAGGCCAAGGTCTCCCACTACATCCAGGGCCATCTCTAGTCATCCAGATCTATATCTTGCCACTGGATCCAGCTGGCTTTGGAGGAGAGAGTGAAGCTGGTAACTTTGCCAGCTCTGCCTCCCTTAAATCCAATTCACTTGCATGTCATGGCATCACCTCCCTGAAGTCATGGTCCTCTTCAAGAAAGGACAAGTAACATCAACACAAGACTGAAACTCAAAGAGAGGCGTTTCCTGCAGCCACAAGCTTGGTATCCAATCCTTTTCCCCATCCAAACTCCTTCAGGTAATTCAACCTGGTATACTCAGCACTGACAGTAGAATCATAGATTTACAGCTGAAAGTGACCTTAGAGAAAATCTGATCAGACCCATCCCACACACACCCCCTCCCATTTTGTAGATAAGTAAACTGAAGCCCAGAGGTAAATTTATTAGCTCTAGGTCAAATTAAATCTGTGGAAGAACCAGAATTTTAACATAGATATCCACCATTCTTTCTACCATACCACACTGCCTCCTAAGTGAAGAGACAAGGTTTGAGCAGTCACGAGAACAGGGAGATATCTTTCAGGACCTGAAGGCATGTGAGATGGTCACACTATACCAGTACCTGACTGTAGATGTTCATTTTGGGAGAGACTACTCCATCAAGGGTAACCATTGGGACAGTGTTCATGCAAAGGAGGAAAAGAAAAGAGAGAAACTAAGATGGATAGAGTTATCAGCAGTCAAGATAGACACTGAGATACAGTGGTATTAACTGGAAGGGGCATGCCACCTAACAATGGTCTTGAATATTTGTAAAGCGCTTAGCACAGTGCCTAGCATACAATATGTGCTTGAAAAATGTTCCTTTTCTTTCCTTCCCTTCATTAATGACTAAAAATATGAGGCCTTTTTTTTTAAAGTTCCCCTCTTACTAAAGTGGGAATTCCCATTTTCCCTTTTTTTCACCCCATAATCCATACAAAAGATTAAAAGTATCATTGACCAGTAGTGTGGACTTTAAAAAGCCTGCAGACAGAGCTGATTTTTGCATGAAGGATTAGTGGAGATGTGGGGGTTGGCACCAACAGAGGCTAGCATATTTTCATGGAGGAGTGATGGTGCCAGGGAATACTGAGAGGTAATCATAATTCCCCAAAAGCATGATATCCAAGGAAAGCCAAGACAAAATAACATCAACACTATTGGTAGAGCCATAGAAAAGTCTATTAATGGCCATGGTTTTTTAATTGCTCAAATTACTAGTAATAAGAGAAATACAATGTATAAGTCTATAACATTATAAAAGAAACCTTTGAAAATTTAAGAAATAGGATCGATGCAATGACCAACCATGACTCCAGAAGCCCATGGATGACTCATACTTCCCACCTCTTGCCAGAAGTCATCAGATCACTCTAACTAGAGTTAGAGGGGAGTTCAAAGGTTATTTAATCTAGGTGACAGACTATACAGCAGAACAAGGCAGATATTTTCAGTACTGCCAATACAATACAAATTTGTTTTACATGACTATACTTATTTGTTACAAGGGAGGGCTTTGCAGGGGAAGGCAGGAAGAAAGTCCTAGATGTGAGAGAGGGTCGTGATGTGTAAAAAAAAAAGCGTGTCAATGAAATACTGAGATGCAGAAAAAAGACAAGAAAAGACTTTAGAAAAATAGACAAGGAGATGGGGAAGGGGGTATCTGGGAACTACATTAGATTTTTTATAGCATAAATATCTTTATGTATAAATATAAAACATTTATATATAAATATATATTTATACTATATAAATATAATGTGTAAAATATTTATATATATGTTAAATATAAATGTATAGATGTTTATATATTTATATTAAAACTTCATGTAAAAGAGGATTCATAGCTTCATATACTACTCTCTTTTTATGTTCTTTATATATGAAAATGATAATATTTGTTGTTATTTTTCAAGTTCACAACAAGAAAGAAAAAAAAATTTGAAGAAATCACCAAGAAGCTTTAGGGAGAGTCATGGGGATACTGTAACCCTTGCCATTTGCCCATTTCCTTGGTTCTGAATGACAGTCAATTTCATATTGGACTTCATATACAACAGTGCATCTCATGTTTCACTGCATTTGTAACGGCTGCCCTGTCTCTTCTCCTCCTTCTGGCCTCTCCACCCATGCCTGGAATGCACTCCATCCTCACTTCTGCCTCTTGGAACCCCTGATTTCCTATAAGATTCAGCTCATACAACATCATCTGTGTGAGATCTTTTCTGGTACATTTCATCCGTACTAGTTCCTTCCCCTTTCTCCATTCACAAGGTTACCCAGGATATCTGCTTTGTATGTATTTTGTAGATAATTTATACATACATGTACAGACATATGTTCATATATATGTTATACGTATATAGTTACATGTAATTTACACATACCTATATATAGGCACGTGTGTATATAATGTGCATGGTGCCCACTCCTTTAGAACATGACCTCCTTGAAAGCAGAGACTGCTTTGTTTTTGTGTTTATATCCCCAGTGACTAATAGAGTGACTGATTCATAATAGGTACTTAATAAATGTTCTATTTCTCCCCATTTCATAGATGAGGAAACTGAGCCTCAGAGAGACTTGCCCATTCTCAGACCATAAGTGGTCAGAGCTGAGATTTGAACTCTGATCTCCTAACTCAAAGTCCAGTGCTGCATCCACTACGCCATGTTGTCTTTCACATAGGAAAAAGCAATTTGGACATCTTTGGGTAAGGGGAGTAATTAATTATTAATTAATAGCAGCTAGGTGGCACAGTGGATAAAGGGCTGGATCTGGAGTCAGGAAGACCCATTTTCCTGAGGTCAAATCTGACCTCAGATACTTACTAGCAGTGTGACCTTGGACAAATCACTTAACCCTGTTTGCCTCAGTTTCCTTTTCTGTAAAGTGAATTGGAGAAGGAAATGGCAAACCACTCCAGTATCTTTACCGAGAAAACCCCAAATAGGGTCGAAAAGTTGAACATGACTGAAAAATGACTGAACAACAACAAATATTTATATGGGAATTTGAGGTTTGCAAAGCATTTTATGTGTATTTATTTTCATTTGATCTTCCCAACAACCCTGTAAGATAAGTATTATTATTATTATCCCTATCTTATAGGTGAGGAAACTGAGACCAAAATGAGATAAAGTGACTTGTCCAGGATCACATAGCTAGTAAGTAGCTAAGAGAGTATTCAGATTTATGTCTTCTTGACTCCAGCATTTTAGCCACTATGCTACCTACTTTCTCAGGAATCAGACAGGACATGAGAAGGAAGACCCAGCAACCCCAATCTCTCACTGTCAACAATGTCCCTTCAGGGATTGCCCTGCAGCTCATCACACTACCCAGAAATAACTGAGTAGGCTGCCTGGAAACCATCAGCGGGCAAGAAAGTAGGGTGCCCCACCTTTCCAATATGATCCATGATTAACCCGTGGAAAGGGGTATTTTTCAGGAAGGGCAAGACCAGGGAAGCACTTCAGTCCTTGTGGAGGACCTTGCCTTCCTTGGGACAATTCTGCCATCATCCTGGGGATTTGAAGTTTTGACTTTGAAGCTGTTCAAAATTTCTCTAATGAAGAGCTCAGATGGGGTGAATGATGGTGGGGCCATTGGTATCCCTGAAAAGGCTGAAATTCTTCACCACTTGGTGCCACCACCACCACTACCACCACCACCTCCCCAACTTTGCTGAATCAGAGACCACTGCTCTTCGAGGGCCAGTGCCTCAGTTCCCCCAAGAAAGATCAAATTTCAACAACCTCAATGATGGAGTAATAGATTGGGAATCAAGAGATCCCAACACTGACTGAGTCTCTGCTTCTGTCTCTCAAATCAGAGGGTTGAACAAGGTAGTTTCCAAGGAACTTTTCCATCTCTGATGCTCTGATTCTATGAGATTTGTCTTCTTTTAACTCTATTTTAGCCCAGCCTCAATTTAATAATAAATTTAAGAAGAAGAAGAATATATGTTTATATTTATTTAGTATATGTATATATAGTACTTACAAAGTGCCTAACATGTCACCTTATTTAATCTGCACAACAGTCCGAGGAAGTATGTGCTATTATTATACTCATTATAGACTAAATAATTTAAGGTCATACTACTAGTAATCCTCTGAGGCAGGACTGGAACTCAGGTGGTAATAACTCCAAGTCAACACTCTCTTCATTGTACCACCAAGCTGTCCTCAATCTGAATGAGTCTTCCTCTGTGACCTTGGGCCTCAGTGTCTTCCTTTGTAAAATGAAAGAATTGGACTTGACAGTCCAAAGATCCCTTCCAGTTCTACCATGAAATTTTAGTTTGGAAGGAAGAATGACTTCAAGGTCTCTCTGAGCCAGGGATGTGCTGGCAAATGTTGCATAACCAGCTCTTCAAAAACAAAAAAACATAAAAACCTATCCTACTCAATTCCCCTGTCCTTACCAAAAAGGTTCCTGGTACTGAGCGTAGTTCATGGCAGCCACGTCCAACACTACAAAGCAACTTCCTTGCACCCTCACATCTCCCTCTTCCGGAGATTCCTTTCTATCTCATCTTGCAAAGGAGTCACCACCACTGACTCCATGCTTCTGTCGAGTAACCCGAGTCCTGTTGTCCTTCCAGCCTCCTATGGCAGAGTCTGAGTGGGTGTCCTTTTCCCAAAGTACTGAGAAGTTGCCTTGTTTCCCACCTCATTCACATAAGGCATTGGCCAGGCAAAGACAGAGGAGCAGAGACTACCAAGGAGATGTTGCCAGGGGAACAGCTAATTCCATCCCAGTCTGTAATTGAATGCCAAGTCTGGTCCTGAGGAAGATCAGAGGATGGTACAGAGCAGAAAAAGCACTGGATTTGGATATGGAAGACTTGTGTTAAATCACTTGCTACCTGTGTGACCTTGGGCATGTCATTTTACTTCTCTAGGGCCTCAGTTTCCTCATCTGTAAATTGAAAAGGTTGGACCAGATGACCTCTAAGGTCTCTACTAGCTCTAGATTTATGATTCAATGGATCCTAGAACCCTATTTTCTTTTTTTTTTTAAGCAATTGAGGTTAAGTGACTTGCCCAGGGTCACACAGCTAGCATCAAGCGTATGGTCTGAGGCTGGATTTGAAGGACCTATTTTCAATTCTATTACTTGTGAGCACTGGAAAGAACTCTTGCTTCCTCTCAATGCTAGCAACAGCAAACATTTTGTAGTAACTGATATGCAGGATACTATGGTACAGTGAAAGAAAGACTGGTCTTTGGCATCCCTTAGGACTCATCACTTTTATCAAAGGATGATACATCTAGGCCTGGAAAGGATCTCAGAGGTCATACTGTGCACCTCATTTTTTTTTCACAGATAAGAAAACTGAGACATAAGGACAAAAGTGGCTTGGCCAAGATCTTACTGGGAGCAAGCATCAGAGACAGGATTAGAACTCAGATCCTTTAACTCCAGAGCCAGCCCTCTTTCTACTTTACTGCTCTCCCACCCCACCCCTGCTTAGCATTTGACAATTTTGCCAAGTTTTGCCTTTGATCTATTGATATTTTGGGGAGGATCTAAACTCAGACCAAAGAAATAACCTGGCCTTTGTTTACTGAGGATATGATTGTATGCTGTTGCAACGCTGGGAATTGAGTCAAATTGAGTGGAGTCCTAAGCAGGAATGGTCTGCACTGCAAGGTCATTCAGCAGCTCACTCATCACAAAGGGGGCCTTTTAGTTGAGACACCAAAATGTCCAACCTGGGACAATGCTTCGGGACCCACAGCTGCAGGGGCATGGCCCTGGCTATACTCTGGTCCCTCTCTCCTCCCCTCCTGGACTCACCAGAAATCAGCCAAGCCAAGTGCTGCTACTGTGACTGATGAGGACTGTGGAGTCCCTAAATTTTACTTGTCCTCAGTGTTGTGCTTAGTAAATATTTACTATGTGCCTGTTTTAATGGCTGTATTGTATTGTACTCTCCCAAATAGCTCCCCTCCCTCCAGCTCTTCATCCTCAGCCACCTGGCTTCCTGCTACCATTTAGCTCTCCCAATGCCCTCCCAGTGGCCCCATACCACACCTGCCCACCTCTCCTTAAACGTGGAAAAAAAAAACTCCCAGTGGGTGTGTTTGTTAACAAGACCTCCCTAAGGGTGAAAATATAGATTTGGAGCTAGGAGGGACCATAGGGGCCATTAAATCTAGCTTCCTCACTTTATAGATAAGGAAACTGGTATAATATAGAGGTTAAGTGACTTGCCCATGGTCATATAGCTAATAAATCAGTCAGTCAATAATCATTTATTAAACACTTACTATGTACCAGGCATGTTACTAAGCACTGGGGATACAAAGAAAGGCAAAAATAGTCCTTACTCTCCAGGAACTGATATTCTAATGGGGAAGACAATATGCAAACCACTGTGCATACTATATACAGGAAAAATTGGAGGTCAGAGAGAAGGCACTGGAAGGAGACCAGGAAAGGCCTCCTGAAGAATGTGAAATGTAAGCTGAGTTGAAGGAAGCCAGAAGGTCATGAGGGAGAGCTTTCTAGGCATGGGGGGGAAAGGCATAGAATTGGAAGATGGTATTTCATGGGTGAGGAACGACAAGAAAGCCAGAGTTGCTAGATCATAAGAGTTATGTAGAAAGGAGTTAAATGTAAGAAGAATGGAAAGACAGGTAGAAATAGGCCAGGTTGTGAAGGGCTTTAAAAGCCAAATTTTCATTTAGAGAATTTTACATTTGATCCTGGAGGTAATAAGGAGCCATTGGAACTTATTGAGCAGGAAAAGTGACAAGGTCAGAGCTGCACTTTAGGAAGGTCACTTTGGCAGCCCAGTGGAGGATGGACTGGAATGGGGAGAGGCTTGAGGCAGGGAGGCCAACCAACAGACAGTACTAGGATAGTTCAGGTATGAAGTGCCGAGGGCCTGTTCCAGGGTGGCAGCTGCATCAGAGGAAAGAAGAGAGTGTATAGGATGTTGTAAAGGAAGAAACACAGGAACTGGCAATAATATGCATATGGAGGGTGAGTGAGAGAGAGAGGAAGGAGTCAAGGATGACTCCTGATTGGGAGCCTTGGTGGTGGTGCCTTTAATAATAATGAGGAATTTTCAGAAGAGGGGAGGATTTGAGGGGTGGTGAAAAGAAATGTGGAATGTGAATGCAGATCAAAGTATATTCTTTTCATTTTCTTTATCTTTTTTGTGTTTTTTTCCCTTTTGCTCTATTTCTTTTTTCACAACATGACTAAGATGGAAATATGTTTTACACAGTTTCATATATATAACCTATTTAAAATTCTTATCTTTTTAGGGAGGTGGGAGAAGAGGGAGGGAAGAAGAAAATTCGGAACTCAAAAAAGTTTTTAAATGAATGTGAAATGATTACGCATATACATACATACATACATACATACATACATATATATATATATATATATATATATATATATATATATATATATATATATATATATATATATATAAAACCTATATCAAATTACCATCTTACAGAAAAGGGAGGGAGAAATTTAGGAATTCAAAATTTTATTAAAAAAAGAATGTTAAAAATTGTCTTTACATGTAATTGGAAAAAATAAAATACTACTAAAAAAAAAGAAAATTAGTTCTATTTGTACATGTTGAGTTTAAGATGTCTACCATACATCCAATTCACATAGATCTAGAGGGAAATCTAGAAGGGGCATTGCTAGAGTAAGTGTGCTACTTACACAGTGCATACTCAAACACTTGCACATTTTCTGAAAGGGAAACATAAACCCAAAAGAGCCTGGAAATGAGAGTTTCTATGGGCTTAGCTCAGTTCCAGGAATCAATAAAGTCACAAAAGAAACTGCTTTACTTCAGGGACAAGCACAGTTTATTTCCACATGAGATCTCATGTCACAAGCTGAATCACAGAAGCTGGGGGAGACTGCCTAAAGAAGTTCACCTCGGCCCTCCTCCTCCTCCCTCTGCCGGGCTGTCTGGAAGGGACTGATGCCAATGGACTGGCTTTAAACGATGGCTTGCAAGGGGCAGCAGGGCAGCTGGATCCCGCACTGGACGCTGCATTCAGGAAAGCTGGGAACACTGTAAAACTTGATCAGCCTTTTGAAGGCACTTTTCTTCAGCATCATCATCTCTTCGGGAAACCTCGATAGGAGCTTAACCCGGGCAGAGCCCCCGCTCTTCCCAGGGCTTCAGCCGGCCCTTGCTTCTGACCCAGCGGCTCTCGAGCGCCACCCATCGGCACGCTGTTGCAGCTGAGGGAACGGACAGTCTTCTTACTCTGAACAGACAAGTAGCTGAACAAGAAGGATGATACCTTACGCTTAGAGATCTCAGGACCCTCCTCCGAAAAGCAGTCATCAAGGGGATCCGCCTGATTGTCAAGAGGTTGGCTAACTTCTCTTCTCACAGACCTCACTCCCGTCCGCTGGGGCTGTACCACAATCTTCCTGGACCCTGACGGGTCTTCTCCACGTTCCCCTGTGCTTGAGGGGGCATGCCATTGACCACAGCCCTGAGGCCACTGGCACCCGTGATGCTGTTTCCATTCTGAGGAGTAGGCTGAGATGTGCAGTGTTGGCTCAGGATGTGCGTGGCAGCATCTCGGATGAGGTTCCAGTCTCGCAGAATATCCTCCTTGGTGGTAAACTGCGAGGTCACAGTGAAGCGGATAATAAACTTGTCCTGGATGATGGCTGGGATGAGGAAAAGGCATCCAGATTTAACAAGTTCTTTTAACACCCTTTCGGTTAGACAATTAGGACCCTGTTTGGCAGATGAAGAAAAGTAAAATCCATGTCATTGACACATTCCTAGAGGTACTTCTAACTGTTCTTTCTGTAAGCAATATGGTACGGTAAAAAGAACACAAGTTAGGTTCAGATCCTGCCTTGAATACTACTTGTGTGACCTAGGACAAGTCATTTAACTTACCTAGGTCCCATCGCTTCAGGCATTTTCTCCAGCTGTCCTCCATGCCTAGGGCGCTCTCTCTCCTTCATTCCAACTACTGACCTCCCTGGCTTCTTTTATTCAGCCTTTTTTCCGATTGTGTCTGACTGGTCATGACCCTATGTGGAGTTTTCTTGGCAAAGATACTGGAGTGGTTTGCCATTTCCTTCTCCAGCTTATTTTACAGATGAAGAAACTGAGGCAAACAGGGTTAAGTGGCTTGCCCAGGATCACACAGCCAGTAAGTGTCTGAGGCCAGATTTGAACTCAGGAAGACGAGGTTTCTTGACTCCAGACCCAGTATTCTATCCACTACGCCACCTAGCTGCCCTGGCTTCCCTTAAGTCCCAACTAAAATCCCACCTTCTACAGAAAGCCTTTCCTAACCCCTCTTAATTCCAGTACTTTCCCTCTTTTAACTATTCCCTGTTCATACTGTATATAGCTTGTTTTGCATGTACTTGTTTGCTCCTTGTCTCCTCCAGTAGACTGTAAGTTCCTCGAGGGCAGGGGCTGTCTTTTGCCTTTTTTTGTATCAGCAACAATTAGCCTGGTACATAGTACGAGCTTAACAAATGTTTACTGAATACTTTGGACGAATGAATGAATGAATCTATAAAATGTGGAGGCTGAACCAAATGACCTCTGAAGTTGCTTCGAGGTTCATATCTATGATTCCAAGTATTCCCAGTGAAATAGTCATTATACTTCCAGAAAGCTGAACCTCAATCCTCACTTTGGTACATGCAATAAATTTGTTCATAATGGGAGTCCTAAAGAAAACTTTACCTTTAAGCGAAACACCACCAAGCCAAGGTGTCTTTTGGCAGGAATTTCAAAGAGAGGGTCATTTCTGACCAAAGACTCAAAGTATTTGGCCATTTCAGTACCCTGGAATATCAAACAGAGAAGGCAGAAACAAGGTGAACATTTCAGGGAGGCAAAAACCACATCATGAACTTTCACACAGTAATAACTGTTCTGGTAGACACTAATCAGTCTGATCCCCCTTTAGTACATTAAAATCATTGCACACAAATCCTATTTTACTCATTTGATTTTCAGACTCAGAAACCTACCATCTCCCCCACCAAACACTGCATACCAGGCTGCCATTATTTTCATAACTCCTGACCATTAGCCTTCTCCAGAATTCCTTATTCTCTCTCCCTCATCTTCCAAAATCTGCACCCCCTGCATCTGGAATACCTTTCTGATTCCTTGGACAATACAGTTGTGGTTTTCTGTGTTCTTAGGTTTTTTTCGTGCAAGTATGGGCTAGATATCCAGTTACCTATTATGCTATAACATACTCAATTTAACACCCTCACTCATCCACTCACCCAGTCCTCCAGCCCTAGAATTTAGTATAATACTTTAGCACAGGGGTTCTCACCCTTTTCTATGTCATGGACCCCCTTGGCAATCTGCTAAAGCACATGAATCCTTTTTCAGAATAATGCTTTTAAAGGAATAAAGAAAATGCTAAATTTCAATTAGAGGTTAGTGCAAATAAAGATTTAATTTTTCCCATCTAAGTTCATGGACATATACACATACATATACATGTGTATATGTGTATATATATATATATATAATATATATATATATATATATATACACGTGTGCGTGTGTGTGTGTGTGTGTGTGTGTGTGTGTGTGTGTGTAACCCTAACCTCTAACTCAAATTTAGCATTTCCTCAATTAGGAATGTAGGCAATAAAACATTATTCTGAGGAGGGGTCCATAGGCTTCACCAGACTTCCAAAGGGGTCCATGACACACAAAAAAGATTAGAAACTCCTGTTTAGAGGTTCACAGCCCATACTATTGGAGGAGTAAGTTTGCAGCAACTTCATCATAGATCTCTTTTTCTCTCTACCCCATGGTTATCACATAATAGCTTCTAGTCATCCTGTTTTCTAACCTTTCAAAGTTTCTCTGGCAAGAGAAGTAGATTTCTAACACATTGCTTTTAGTTGTTTCACACTCTAGTAATCATAGAATCTTAGATTTAAATCTGAAAAAGACCTGAGGTCCTCTGATCCAACCTCTATAACCTCTATAACTGAGCAGTTAAGAGCTTACATGCCTTAATCAAGGTCACACAGCAAGTAACTAGTAGAGTCCTGACGCAGACCAAGCTCCTCCGCATCTTTTCCCAGTTTGTAATGGCTGAACAATTATTTTTTCCCCATTCTTAACTTTCTGCATAAGTTATTTCAAAATATGGATAAGGAACCATTAAGGTGCCTCTTAAAATAATTCAGAACTTTCTTTGGGCTACATCATTGATTATGTAGATTATCTCCAAGTCTCTCTTTCTTCATATTGTTTACAATTCTATTAGTACCAAGACTGTAATTGTTATACAGCTCCCCCCAGACCAGACTTCCCTTCCATCTCTAGATTTATGGTCCTATGATCCTCCGACCTGCCAAGTCTGAAATAATATTTGTACCCAGCAACATTGCTTTCACTTTTGTACAAGACTCTGTTGAAAGAGTACTTGTTGAGAAACGCAGGAGGTAACAATTTTATTACTCCAAACTGAAGGATACTTTTCATTTCCTTCTCCATGTATTTTCCTGCACCACTGCCCCCACCTCCAGAACAAAACAACCTATCACAAACCTTTCAAATGGTAATAGCTGCTAGTTTTACAAGTTAGTGATTTAGAATGGAAAACCACAACACTAAAGGATACTGTCCTCAATCTATAGGCTAAATGTTCTGGGTACTTTCTGTCCTCATTGTAGTAGTAGCAGAGAGGAGGAGAAAGATAGCGTGCAGAGGTTCTAGTCTGGCTGGACTACGTGTAAGATGCAGGGTAAGAGGGCAGGTAAGGTAGGTAGCGGGGTGGACAGCTGAGAATAAAGAATGTCTAAATCCAAGGTCCCTTCTAGCTTGAAATTTGTGATGCTATTAAACAAAAATATTAGGATTAGCAGTGCTATTTTTACTTTGAGTACAACTAAGAGATAATAGCCTTGACCAGAATCCTGAAGATGAAGGGGTAAGGCACAGGTAGAGCCTTATCCTCCCTCACTTCCCCCAACCCTCTTCTTTGTATCTGCAGCACTTAGCACAGTGTCTGGCACAGGGTAGGTTCTTAATAAATGCTTATTGACTGACTGAATGACACAAAGTAAAAAGTGAAATGTTGATCTACAAATAACTGTTTATTGAGGACCCTTCCTCCCCCTCGCCCCAATAAAATACACATTCTGTCCTGTTCAGGATAGAAAACAAGCATTCAGCCCAGTCTTGTCCTCCTGCAGACACAGATCTACCAAGGGAGCTTGAAATTAAGTAGTCAGCTGTGTGACTTTAGCTAAGGCTAACAGGAGTTGAGAGAAGGTACAGATCAGTAAGGGGAACAGTCAGGGGGACACTAATGAAAAGGGTAGGACTTCAACTGGATTACTGACAGATGGGTAAAATTTGTATCCATAAAGGAATGGAGAGAGGCCATTCTAGGTAGGAGAAACAGCATAAGTAAGGGCGTGTTGGTTGAAACCCGAGTTGCTTGTTCTGATGTAACCCTTGTCCCAAAGCTGGTTGGTATGCGACTGTCTCCTTATTGGTGGAGATGAATTGCCCTGACCTGTGTGATGGGCAGGGCAGGGCTGTGAAGGTCAGAATATTCATCTCCACCAATAAAGGGGGAGTCCTGTACCAATGGGCTTTGGGACAGGAGTTACACAGGGAATCGTGATGGGACTGCTCTGGCTTTAGGGAAAAGGGTTGGGATGAAACAATTGAAGAAACAGAGTGGGCCAGTTTATGAAAGGCCTTGAACGTCTGGTGGAGGAGTCTGAACTTGAAGTGATACTGACTTTATGAAGACAGCGTTTTAGGGAAATTAGTCAAGATGTACATGCTAGGAAAAAAAAAAGATGTACATGCCTATAACCTTGCCTACCCAGGTAACCTTCAGATTCCCAGGACCATAGGTTTAATTCTATTATCACATTACCCAACCTTAGTACCCCTTCTCCTATCCTCTTATTCCCTGTTTCTTGCAACAAACCAACCCAACCTGAAGTTATCGATATTACAGGATTATAGATTTAAAGCTGGAAGGAACCTTAAAGGGCATTGAATCCACCCCTTCATTTTATAGATAAGGAAAATGAGGCCAAGTCATTAAGTGACCTTGCCAAGGTCATACAGCTAGTAAGTATCTGAGGCAAGATTTGAACTAAGGTCTTCCTGAATTCAAGGGATGGCTAAGCGGTATAGAGGATAGATCTCCAGGCCTGAAGTCAGGAGGAACTGAGTTCAAAAATGGCCTCAAGTGTGACCCAGGGCAAATCACTTACCCCTGTTTGCCTCAGTTTCTTCATCTATAAAAGAAGCTGGAGAAGGAAATGGCAAAATCACTCCAGTATCTTTGCCAAGAAAACCCCAAATGGGATCATGAAGTGTCAGACACAAAGACTGAACAACAATATCCCAAATCCAAGTCCAGCTATACTGCACTATTTCTATAGTCAGGCTTTTCTGATTCGCAGCTACCCACCCCACCATCTACTTTACCTGCCCTCCTACCTTGCATCTTACACGTAGTCCAGTCAGACTAGAACCTCTGCACACAATCTTTCTCCTCCCATCTGCTACTACTACATTGAGGACAAAAAGCACCCAGAACATTTAGCCTATAGACTGATGGTAGTATCCTTTAGCGATGTGGTTTTCCATTCTAAATCACTAATCTGTAAAACTAGCAGCTGTTACCGTTTGAAAGGTTTGTTTTGTGGTAGGTTGTTTTGTTTTGTTCTAGAGGCGGGGGCAGTGGTGCAGGAGGATACATGGAGAAGGAAGTAAAAACCTTCAGTTTACAGCAATAAAGTAGTTACCTCCTGCATTTCTCAACAAGTACTCTTTTTTTTTGGCTTTTTGGTGAGGGTTAAGTGACTTGCCCAGGGTCACACAGCTAGTAAGTGTCAAATGTCTGAGGCCAGATTTGAACTCAAGTCCTCCTGACTCCAAGGCCAGAGCTCTACCCACTGTGGCACCTACCTGGCCCTCAACAAGTACTCTTTCAATAGAGTCTGTGCAAAAGTGAAAAAATACTGCTGGGTATAAATATTATTTTAGACTTGGCAGGTCAGAGGATCATAGGATCATAAATCTGGAGCTGGAAAGGAAGTCTGTTTAGGGGAGCTGTATAATAAGTATGGCCTATAACCTTGCCTACCCAGGTAACCTTCAGATTCCCAGGACCATAGGTTTAATTCTATTATCACATTACCCAACCTTAGTACCCCTTCTCCTATCCTCTTATTCCCTGTTTCTTGCAACAAACCAACCCAACGCAGTTACTACGTGCACTTTGTTGGTGGTCAATAAGGCACAGATGGGCATGGACAGATGAGGACAGATCTCAGGAGTTTCTGTGACAAGAAGCAACTTGGCTCTGACTATGGAGACAATTTGTCCATAACACTCACCAGAAGTCTGAGTGACAGAGTGCTTCATTTAATTTTCAGTACTGAGCTTCTCCTAATTTGATTAGCTATGGAAGGTACAAGACAGCAAATTTTTTGGTACATAAGTACAACTGTCATTTTTCTAAATGTCAATGCCCTTTGAAAATTTTATCAACAAGAAAAAGCAAAAAAAAAAGTCACAAGACCAAACATTCTAAAGGACTGTGTAAACAAACTGAAGTCCTACTCTGAATGAAAGCTATGCCAATGATATTCAGCTTCTGAATGGGGCCCTTCCAGGCTGGAAAATCTTTGAGTACAGGCCTAGTGTTTGCTTTCCAAGAATGAATCTAGCTAAGATTGGAGAGGCTCATTGTCAGAATGTTGGCATAGCAACTGATAAAGATTGTCTACTGAGGCACAGAAAAGCTATGATCCATATCCATGGCAGGACCATATTGGCATATGAAATCTTAGCTCTTTTAACATCCTGAAGAACAAACAAGCAGTAAACATGAGAGAACATGTGGTATAATGGGGAGAGTCTCAATTTGGAGTCAGGAATCCTCCCTCTGATACACACTACAAGACCCTGGACTCAGCCTCTCTGGACCTCAACATCCTGGGACTTTCTAAACCGTAGGGAATGGATCTGCACCAGTGGAAGGGCAGGATCTATCTTTCTTTTTGCTTGTATTCATATCTCCAGTGCTTAGCACAGTGTCTGGTACCTAGTAAGAACTTAATAAATGCTTACTGACTTGACTTTGGACTTCTCATACTAGGAGATCTCATGAAATCACAGATCCTGCCACAAAAGGTGATGTATAAATTTCTCTGTCTATACCATAATGCTGGAATTCCTAAGCTACAGAAAACAGCCTATATTTTGCATTTTAATTTTGTCATTTTTAATTTTAAAAAACTTAATTATAAAATTGTTGGGGATATGGTTGGTTTGAATACTGTGTTTCCAAGCTAAAAGAGTGAGAAAGAGGGAGAAAGAGAAGAAGAAGAAGAAGAAGAAGAAGAAGAAGAAGAAGAAGAAGAAGAAGAAGAAGAAGAAGAAGAAGAGAGAGGAGGAGGAGGAGGAGAGGAGGAGGAGGAGGAGGAGGAGAGGAGAAGGAGAAGGAGAAGGAGAAGGAGAAGGAGAAGGAGAAGGAGAAGGAGAAGAAGGAGAAGAAGGAGAAGGAGAAGGAGAAGAAGAAGAGAAGAAGGAGAAGGAGAAGAAGAAGAAGAAGAAGAAGAAGAAGAAGAAGAAGAAGAAGAAGAAGAAGAAGAAGAAGAAGAAGAAGAAGAAGAGAGGAGAAAAAGAGACAAGAGAAAGAGTGCTACATTGAATAAACACATCTCAAGAATCTTCCAACATGCCTTCTGGTCCAGTCACTATGGTTTTCCTGGTCAGGCTAACCTACAGTCAGCCTCTGATTTACTCCCATGTTAGAAAATTACGCAACACACAGCATCATTTAGTCCAACATACATGTCTGACGTGGGCTTGGAGATTCTTCACTCCAAAGGAACGGATCACAAACCACAGTTTGATAGAACGAAATCGCCGGCTCAGAGGAATCTGCCAGTGCTGACAACAAAAGAACAGGCGCACAGATCAGAAACAAAGGTGGGCACAGCCCAGCGTCAGCTGGTGCCCTGCCTTCCTGGGGCATTCCCCACCACCATGACACCAGAGGCTGCTGCCTCCAGGGAGGAGGAAGAGGCTTAGCCATCCACAAAGTGAGACCAAACAACCTCTTCCAGAGGACTGTGGGACTGAATCCCTCATGGCTATTGCAAGTCAGGCCCTAGGAGGCAGGTGGAGACAGTCACTGAGACTTCTCTGAATGTCATTTGAAGGCCTTTATTTCCTTACAGCCTCTTGATTGGTGGGGCTTTTGTTTACCTCTAAGAGTCCCTAAAGTCCCTAAACAGGTGAATATCAGGGAATGAAGCTCAAAAATCAGAGTCTAACATTTTATTATGTAAGAAAATATGCGTGGGGGAAAATACGTTGCTATGCTGCTTTCATTTTAATAGGCATGTAGATATGACGAATGTTGACTTTGCTTTCTTCACAAAATGCTCTGCTCTAAGAGCATCAGAACTGTAACTAGGGCAGGTTGAGTGGAGCTTTTCCCAGGACACTAAAATAAAAATTTATTTTTAAAGATTCTGCAATTTGCAAGCGTGTTAAGTGTATATTTAGATATCACGTTCAATCTCTCAGCACGAAAACTAATAAGTGAGCACCTAGTTTGAGAGGACCCCACCTGTAATTTAACTGGCATAGGGAATTTCCAATGAAGAAACTCCCTGTCAATGCATATTGGTACCTACTCTGCATTGTAGAGTCTTAAAGAGGTGCCCGGTCTGCTCAGGGTCACACAGGCAATCTGAGCCTAGATTCTCTTGACTCCAAGGCAGACTCTCTATCCAATGCTACACGCTATCTCTCTAACTAGCACTTAGATAACAAGAAAAATTACTTAAAATAGGAAGCTACTAAATGGTGGCTTTCTTGCCTCAGTGGATGCACTCCAGGAAAGCTGTGCCACACACACACCTGGCCCTACACTGTTCTCCCACAGATGGCAATCTCCCTAGCACCAACCTCATGAAGCTGCAGAGTCAGATCTAGAACTAAAATAGGGCAGCTAGGGGCTTTATAACAGGCAATGACATAGAGGAGTGGATTTCCTCCACTCCCTCTTTTGTGGTGGTCTAGAGCATGGTACAAGGGAAAAGAGATAATTGAGTTGGAGACAGAGAGCCTGATATCAAATTCTAGCTATGCAACTTACTACCTTGAGTAAGTCACTGATGTTCTATGTTCCTGAGTATTCTCAACTATTAAATGAGGGGGTTGGACTAAATGACCTCTGAGTTCCCTTGTCCATATTACCATTTTTGCTTCTGGTTTAAAAAAAAATCCTAGTTATGCTTCTGCCTGGGGTATCTCCCAACAGACAACCAGGAACACTGGCTCCTGCTTCCCTCCCATGAGTCAGGGCTCTGAACTTCCTCTCCTGTTCAGCTGAATTTGTTTCAATTATTTTTTATATTATTCTAACATCATGAACTACAAAGCTGATCAGAGAGCATGTGTAGTACTGTTTGCCCTAAATGTCATTTCAAGCTGCCTGCCGTTGGTACCAATATTGCTAGTTAAAACCCTACCCAGCATGATGGACTGATTGTTTTTAATCTGAAATTAGCCCATGCTGATTCAACAGGATGGTTCTACAAACAAATCTTGGAGCCTGGGGCATGGGACAGTTGGTTTTATCAAGGCCATCCCAGGTCTAGTTCCTCTTTGGTTTGAGTTGTTATGGGGTTTTCTACATGCTTTGTGACCCACAAGCACTTTCATACCAAAGGTCATTGGCCAATGACACTTTTTTACAGGTAAAAATCATTCCTCAAGGGCTCAGCTGTGGTGCCTCCAATTCGCTACTGCCCTGCTCCATGATGAGTAGTGGGATTTTCTCTGATGTTAGAATGGTCAGTATCAGTCTTAGGGTGGTAAGATACACTCTGTGGTCCCAGAGGAGCAAACTCATTAGACCATGGACATAAGATGCTACTCTGAGCCTGCCCATATCAATCTATTTTTAGCTTCAGTTCAATCATTTCAATCAAAAAGGCAGCATACGGCTCAAGGCTCAGGCCAGGACAGTAATGAAAGCACCTCTGGTGAGAGGTAAAGAAAACAGCAGTATTTTGCCCTGATCTGGGAATAGGAGCACCATCCTAAAAAGAAGCCTGAGTACCCAGTTTCTTTAATTCACTGGGGCAGAGGGTGATAGGATCATACATTTAGACTTGGGATCTTGGAAGTCATTGGAATCCAAACCCCTGGTTTCATAGAGAAGGAAACAGATCTACAGACAACAGGTTACTAAGTAACAACAGATTACTTGAAGGCATCCATTATGCTACCTAGCTGCCTCAACACAGGGGCAGCATACTGGCCCTGGAAACCCAGTCTATGTTTAGTTAAAGAACCTGTTGACCTAATTTATTTAGACTTTTAAGTGTTTAATAAGGTTCTTCAGAAAATATAGATTTTTTCAAATTGAGTCATTGTGGGATTGAAGGGAATTTTTTTTAACGAATAGGAAATTGACAAGATATGAAACCAAGGGTAGGGAAAAATAAGTACCTCTCTAGATGAACATGTGTAAGCGGTCTAAAAAAAAATCAGGACTAGTTCTGGGGCAAGTATAACCTAATATTTTAAAATAAATACATAAATGATATGGAAGAAGGAGCACATTGAAAAAATTCCCAATTTGCTGATTATAGTAGATTAAGCCTTTGGGATTAAACTGCATGGAGAAACTACATAGTTTCTTGGGAGAAACTACATAGAAGCCTGTATAAATTATTGTTTAAAAGTTCAGTATGGGAAAATATTATTAAATGAATGAATGTCTAGAAACATAATCCAAATATAGGACCTAAGCTCCCTCATGTAGAAAATGAGAGTTGGACTGGGTCTCTGAGGTCATTTGTGGTTCTAAAATTCTCACCATAAAGTCCGTGGCTGCTCCCGAATTGGCATGCCTGAGGTAGACAGGATTCACACTGAAGGTCTGCTGCAGCTTTAACTTGTCTTTGACCCTGTGGGTAAAATGGACATTGCTGGCTGAAGCCTCTTCAGAGGCCAATGATGATGTTGCATGTGGGGATTGGCAGCTGCACTCACCAGAAACCAGTACAGTCAAAGTGAACCATCATCCATTTGGAAGGATTGAAAGTAAACGAATCAGCGTGCTCAACACCCTTCAAAAACACTCGGAATTCAGGGCAGAGGAAAGCAGTTCCTGCATATGCAGCGTCAACATGGAGCCATAGGCCCTCACTAGCACCTGTTGAAGCAAAAACCTAAGTGACTCCAAGAATTCTTGAAATAAGTTACCATGGGTAATGATGGGTAATGTTACCCTGAGCCTGTCCATATCAATCTATTTCTAGCTTCAGTTCAACCACCTGAATTTAAAAAAAAGAGCACACAGCTCAGGGCTCAAGCCAGGACACTAATAAAAACACCTCTAGTGAGAGGTAAAGAAAACAACATTATTTTGCACTGATCTGGGAATTGGAGACCATCCTAAAAAGAAGCCTGAGTACCCAGTTTCTTTAATTCACTGGGGCAGAGGGTGATAGGATCGTAAATTTAGAGTTGAGATCTTAGAAGTCACCAGAGTCCTGGTTTCACAGAGGAGTTTAACGACTTCTCTCCTCTGAGGTTCAGACTTGGCTAAAATTCGATCATGGTTCAAAGTGGAAAGTGGAGCCCAACATGTGTGTGGAATGAGGCATTTTCAATTTGGGTGTGAAACAAACAAAAAAAAAAGAATTAGGGATGAAAGTAGGGCAGATGAGACATGGTGATATCCTCTTTCTTCTTTCAAGAAGAGCCTGAAATCATCCCCACTTGAATTCCAGGGATAAGATAACCGAATGCCTTATTTCTTTATTTGAAATAATCCATAAACCATCTCACTTCCTTTTTTCTATCACTGGGGAGAGATATGCACAAGGATGAGCAGGGAGTCTCCTGGTCTAGGTTAGGACCTTCCTGGCAAAACTTACCCAACTCAAAGCACTGTGGGTAGTAAAGTGCTTTGTAAACTTTAAAACATTATGTCAATATGATTTTTGTTATTGTGATTATCTGTTCTTCCATTTTAGTGAGAAGAATGTCAACACATCTAGCAGGCCCTAACTTAAGTTACAGGAGAAATGTTACTCTTCTCTCAGATTATCTAACTTTGAAGTCCAAACAGCAATGTTTGAAGTTCTGATCACTTTGCTCCTTTCCATTCTCTCTTCCACCCCTACCTTCTTCTCCCATTGACTTCAAATGGAAACTTTTTCACTGGAGGCCCCACATGCCCTAACAACTTTGGTTGGGCTCACTCAGGTGGAGGAACAGAAGTCCCTGAGATTTGTGTATGGCTACCTCCTAGGAAAGGTAACAAGGTTGGACAAAGCTAAAAATTTGTTCCTTTCAGCAATATTCACTGAGAGAACAATAATACTGGCTAGCTAAGAGGGGATCCTTAGCTTCCTTCTGTGATCCTTCTGCCCCTATATTAAACAGGCCTTGGCTGGTCAAGGAAAGTCAGGAGTGAAGTTCCTCCCAAAGCAATTTCACACTGTCAATACTTCAGAGTTCTATAATTTTGTTGGTGTGTGTAACTCCCTTCACCAGTTCAGACCACAGCCCCTCCAGACCTAATCAGGTAGTCTTTGTGAATTGCTATAACTCCTCTCCTCCCCACCCCTACCCCCATTAAAAAATAAATAAATACCAGTAATAAGTATGAATTTAAGTAAGCTGGTCCTTGGACAACATACATACATTTTGTCACCAGGGCCATACTCAAAGTCTTTCCAGCTTGGTAAGATCTGTTAGATCTAGTGCTCTGCTGGCATAGCCTCAAAGAATCCAAGGTGACCTCCAACTGGTTAACAAATGTAGAAAATCACTGGATAAATTATCTTAGCCAGACAGGACATATGCTTACAAATAGGCCCCAGCTCTGCCAAGCAGTCAAATGCACAGACACCAGTGGTCCCTAAGGTAGCACACACCTGAAAAGAAAATAAAGCTAAGTTACAATGGTAGGTGGGCTCAACTTATGAATCTGACTTTTGTTAAATGAAGCTCTAACCACAAATATTAATCTACCAGCTACTCTAGCATCACCCATGACAATAGAACTTCTCTCAACCAAACCCCTTCCTCACATTCATTTTCTACTATTCAAAATCACATCAATTTATTTACCTTCAATTCTCATGAAGTGCATTCATTCATTCATTCATTCATTCATTCATTCATTCATTCATTCAAACTTACAAAAACAGGCACCAGGCCCTGTTTCCTGTCCTCTTCAATCGCTTTCTGAAGGGTTTCACCACGGAGAGAGAAATTTTTATCCACAGGCAGGAATTTCATCTTCACAAGTGAAATCAGACCAGCCTTTTCAACAGAAGAATGGGCCTAAACAGATGTGAGAGAATAACACCGACTCCTGACATTTGACATTTATGTAAGATCATAGATTTAGAGTTGGAGGGGACCTTAGAGCCCATTTTTTCCAAACCCCACCCCACCCCCATTTTGTAAATGAGGAAGCAGAGGCCAAAAAAACATTAAGTGACCTGTCTAAAGTCACACAGCTATAAAGTAGCAGGCGCAGAATTTGAACCCAGGTCCTCTGACTCCATATAACCATTACTTTCCATTGAACCACTTTATATATTTTATATATTTCCTTTATATATTTTATATATTTATTTATATGTAAAATGGCTCCACTGAACCACTTTATATATTTCTATAAAGCACTATATATTTGATCTCATTTGAGCCTTACGTTGCACACTCTGAGGTAACTGCTTTAACTATTATCATATCCACTTAATAAATAGAGAAATGGGCTGAGAGAGTTTAAGGTCTTATAGCCATTATGTGTCTATAGCAGGATTTGAACCAACTCTAAATTGGGTACTTTCCTGGGACCAACTCATAGCAGAGTTGTAATAATGATAATGATATCAGCATATATATAGTACTTTAAGGTTTACCAAGCATTTTACATATGTTTACTCATTTCATCCTCACAACAAACCTATGAGGTAGGTGCTATTATTATCCCCATTTTACAAATGAGGAAATTGAGACACGAGGAGGTTAAGTGACTTGTGCTAAGTCACACTAAGAAATGTCTGAGGTAGGATATAAAGGGGATTAGATGAAGCTTCAGAACACAGAAGCTATGGAATGTCAGATATTGACTCAAGAATTCATCTTGTGGGCTTGGATTCTTATAATCTAGCCAATAGCTCACAGATGCTCAGATTCCTTAAGACTCTGGCTAATATGGCAGATCTTTAATAAACCTTGTCTTTGGCTGAAAGAAGGCTTGGGTCGAATTCTTTTGGCCAGGACCTGCGTGTCGTGATTTTGGGATTCCAACACCCCTAACCTCTAGACCTCATCAGTACCTATTATATTTCAGGCTCTATGTTAGATGGTACTATGGCAAAAATGAGGTAGTCCTTGCCCTCAAGAAGCTTATATCCTACTGGGGAATACAGGTTCACAGATCATTGTATTGCTGAGAAGAGCTAAGTCTATCAAAGTTGATCATCACACAATGTTGCTGTTACTGTGTCCAATGTCCTCCTGGCTCTACTCACTTCGCTCCGCATCAGTTCATATGAGCTAAGGGTTGGTTAGAAAAATCTGAAACAAAAATCTACTACAGCAGTGTGTGAAGAAAAGTCTTTATTACGCTTCTCATGAGGAACCGGCACACCACACGCTAGTATGGCACATCTGCACGGATAAGGAAGCAGAGCCTACTTTTAAATGCCCAGTGCCCACGGCCATCATTAAGGGGAGAACTCATTGTGGAGAAGCAGTCTACCCTCCTCATCACCACCAGTAACAAGTGATCAACTACCACCGATAGTCAGAGGGGTGAAGGATCCCTAAGGGTGGCAGCCCTAGGATATCAGTCCTACTTCCAGCCCAAACCTCAAGGTCAGATCCGAGGAAGTAATTCCCAAGAAAGGGTTCAGTCATCCCCACCATCTGCCAATCAACTACCACACAAAGGACAGGCAAGCCAGCCTACCTGAAGCAGCATAGTACCCTGAGGGAGAAGCATATGTCAGATAAGTCAAACCAACACCACCAGCTTGACCACCATTTACTCTTAGATCATGATGGAGACAGCCCAGGACCTTGAAGCCAGGAGCCTTAAGAATAGCAATACTCTTAGGCCAATGAACTCAAAAATCATTCTGCAGCCTGGTAACACTGGTGCTACAACCACAACTACAGAAGAAAATAAAATTTTTACTACCAAGGTCCTTGGCACTGTCAAATGGTTTAGCAACAGAAACCGATATAATGTTATCCGTGGAAATTGCATTCGAGAAGAGGCATTATCATCTACTTCGCTATTGCACTCTAAAGACCATGGACTTTTTCCATTTGACTTGCAGCTGAAACCTTCCTGATGTGTCGTCTCCCCCATTAAAATGTGAGCTTCTTGAAAAAAAAAAAAGAATTTATGTTGGGAAGACAGAGTGATAACTTGGAATTTTTTGTACCTGGGACAAATTCAATCAAATAAATGATGGGGTGGGGGGGGGCACAGGCAGGGAGGAGGAACAGGAATTGGCAAATCACATGTATAAACAAATCAGGAGAGGAGACAGGCCAACCCTCTGAGAGTGCAGCCTTCCTCCTCTACGGAGGCTTTTGATAGGAAAAGAAAACGGGCATGACAGGACCCTAGAGCAAAGACAATAAACTATGCTCCAATCCAAATCTTACCAGCTGCCTATTTTAATTCATATTTTAAAATGTAGGGGGCAGCTAGGTGGTGCAGTGGATAGAGCTCTGGCCTTGGAGTCAGGAGGACCTAAGTTCAAATTTGACCTCAGACACTTGATACTTATTGGCTGTGAGCCCGGGCAAGTCACTTAACCCAACTGCCTCATCAAAAAAAAAAAATAAAATAAAATGTAAAAACCATTCTTAGCTCATAACAAAAACAGGCAGCTGACCAGATCTGGCCCTCAGGGTATAGTTTGCTGACCCCTGCCCTAGAAGTATCAGTCCAGGCCAAGAGAAGATCGTGAGGCAAAATATAACGATGACAGTCACACTAGGAAGGAAGGGTTCATTCTCTCCTACAGATGTTGGCACCCAAGAGCAAACCCAACAATACCACCTCTAGGCCTATACCCCAATGATATCAGAAAAAGAGGGATTCATATGGACAAAAATATTTATAAGAACACTTTCTGCTGTAGCAAAGAACCAGAAACTAAGGGTATACCCATCCACTGGGGAATGGCTAAACAAATTATAGAATATGAATGTAATAGAATATTATTGTGCTATATGACAAAAGGTGACAAATGATAGTGTGGCAGATTCAGAGAAACCAGGGAAGATTTATATGAATTATGGAGAGTGAAATGAGCAGAACCAGAATAATTTTATGATATCTACAACACTGGGAAGGAAAACAACTTTGGGTCCCCATGATCAGTACAATGACCAACTAAGACTCCATAAGGCTGATTTTGTATGGGTTTTTTTTGTTTGTTTTTGTTTTTTTTTCTGATGAGGCAATAGGGATTAAGTGACTTGCCCAGGGTCACACAGCTATGGAAGACTGATTTTGAATCAGAGATGATGGACTAGAGGTATAATTAGACCTCCATCTTCAGACATAACTAGCATATGCATTTATTTTGCTTGACTGTACTCATTTGTTTCAAAGGGAGGGCTTTTCTTTTCTTTCTTTTTTTTTGGTAGAGGAAGAGAATTACGGGGGAAAGAAGAGGGTAGTGACAGTGATTAAAAAAATAATGAACATTTTAAAATATTCAGAAGAAAGAAGGAAATTCAGAAGAGGATATAAACAAGTAAGGCAATGTTGGTGCCATCAGGTTAAATTTAATATATACTTTTAAAAAAAAGCTGGGCCTAATATAGATTCAAAGTTTCATGTACAATCCTCATTCCTTGGTATTCTTTTTTGTATATCAAAATGTCTGTTTGTTGCCTTCCGTCACATTCATAATAGTCAAAAAGAAAAGTTATTTTTCAAAGTCCCATTCACTTAATGTTAGTGACCTCTCTCAGCATAGGAGCTCTTACCTGGTCTGAGGCATAAGCAACAAGCCGAGAGTTCAGGGAAGATTCGTCCACATCTGGCTCAGACACTTTCATGCCCAGGATTTTGTTTTTTCTGGCTGCTAGCAAAGCTACTAAGGTGGATTCACTGACTGTACTCTGTGAAGGAAGAGAGGTCATGACTGGCAGCCTTTTTTTTTTTCTCCCCTTCCAAATATTCCAGATTTTTTTTTTGTTGTTGTTGTTTTCCACAACTATCCCCAAGAAAGAGCACAGTCTCTGCCTGAGGCTGTTCCTCATCTCTTCACATCATTTTCCAACCTCTGCCATCTTTTCTTATTTGTCCCACATCCACAGTGTACAAGACGTGCTGAACCTGGATATCTTTCTTACTAATTTGCTAAATACACAAAGAAAAAAAAATCACAACGCCAAGAGGATTATCCTGGAAGGCACAGAAGATGAGAACAACCAGGCCCTGGTAAGTAATGATTAAGTTTCCAGTATGGGGGGGGAGGGGAAGGAAGAATGGGTAGGAGAAGAACAAGAGACACATGGAAACTTATTAAAAACTAAAAAAAAAAAAAGACAGCACAGAGCTACAAGGGAAGCAGGAAAGTCCTTAACCCCAGCTCAGCTAGTGACATGTCTCATGATTCATTTCCCCTCTCAGGGGCTCAATCTCCCCATCTGTAAAATGGACATCTTTTCTCCTTCCCAGGTCAAAGCATATGTTTGCTAATGAGGAATTAATAAGGAAGGACTAAACTATAGAAATAAGTGAATTCCCATACTAAGGGAACATCTCCTTACATTTCATTTGGCCTTCTGTATTTCCTCATTTAGTCCTTGTTTTCAGACCTGTCTCTTAGTGAACATTCTAAGTTGCTTCATGTCCCACAAAACACATAGGCATTCAGACTTGTGGAGGACAACATGACCAGACCCTGATACTCTCCAGCTGAACTGCGTCAAAACACTGACTTGAACCCTGGTGCCTTGAAAGGGATGTTGTATCTCCAGATCCTTCCAACAATTTTACATTCAGACTTTGGCTCCATTATTTTCAGTAAATTATAAAGCAAACTGAACCACTTAAGGAACTCTGGCTTAGTGGATCTTAGGAGGTAGCAATGTAGGCAAAAAATACAAAGGCTGCAAACTTATCTTGCTCATGTCTTCCATCTCTCCAGCTTTCTAGAAGCTGTGAATTAAGTTTCCTAAGTCATGTAATCTACCATCCTCCCTTATCCAGTCTCACCATATGGGCAGGAAGGGGTTTGTGTCTGTGTGTGGTTTGGGGGAGGCATGGAAGGGAAATAGAGGAAGCCAGGTTCATAAACTAAAAAAGTCTAAATTGGAATGATTGTAGTAATATGATGATTTATTTGTTTTCTTTTAAGGAAAGAAGATAGGGAAAAGAAAAGGGGGCAGGGATAAAGAAGAGAGGGAAGGAAAGCAAGAAGAGAGAAAAGGGGAAATATGAAAGGGAAGACAGAAAGATAAAAGGAAAAGGGAAGAATAGGAAAGAATGAAAGGGAAAGAGGATAGATGAAGAGGAAAGGAGAAGGAAAAACAGGGATATGAGAAAAGGAAGAAGGAAGGGGAAAGTACTTATGAAAAGGAAAAGGAAAAAGGAGATATTATAGCGTGAGTGGGGCAGAAGGGACATTGTTGTAAACAGGAGGCCTAGACAGCTAGGAAGGCTGATTTATCATTCACTTCCTAAACCAGTATTTTTTCCGATCCCAAATGCAAGAGCGCGGCATCATCTGAGGCACCTGTAAGACACCTCCTCCCTGGCTGCTTGGGTGGTGGTGGAGGAAGTGCTCGGGGAGTCCCAACATTTTTGCCAGCCAATCCATGACATTCATTTCGAGCTCAGTGCAGGCTGGGCTGGAGGCCTGGAACAGAAAAAGGAAAATTCAGGACCTCTATCCAACCTGCAAGGAATATTCCCACCCACTCATCCCTAGCACTTGAAACAGCTGCTCCTCTGCATAACCCCTGATCAAACTTACCATCCCTTGCCAGTGGGAAGTTGAGATCTCCCTGAGCAAGAGATCGTGAGTGACAGGCAAGCCCCCAGACTTTCTCCCACCTCCCACCCTCCTGCACTCAAGCAAACTAAGGGAAAGAGGGAAGGGAGCTTCCTGCCAACTGATTATCTCTCAGTTAGAAGTCAGCTAATCCCTTAACAATGCTGGCCGGGGGTCACCAATTCCATCTGGCCATACTACACAGAATATGCTTGGGAATGATTTAGATAAACATGGACTTTCCAAGCAAATTCCATTAGAGCAGAACTGGGGAGTAGGGGATAGGTATAACCACAGCTTAAAGCTTGAAATTTTAGATGTAAAATAAAGTATTAATTTATGCTGAAGGTAGAAAAATAAACCTTTTTTTGGTTATGAATCCCTTAGAATAATGTTTTTAAATGCATAAAATAAAATAGGATTACAAAACAAATCAATTATATTAAAAATAAAGATGTCATTTTTTTCCCAGCCAAGTTCATGGACTCCTCGAAATTTATCTACAGATTGTGGACCTCAGGGTTAAGAACCCTTTCTATAGAGATAATATAGACTAAAACTATAAATAGATTCAAGGAGTACTGGGATGCATTTTGGTACGATGACAGGAGGGAAGTTGGGGGTGGTAGAGTGACGAAGCATCTCCATATCAAAAAGGATTACTATGCTCTCTCACAAAGCATTCTTTGTTGTCATAGTCAGAGAAAGGAAGCAGAAAAATAGGCCACTTGTCTGATGGAAGAGGCCTTGATACCTGTTCTTGCTCCCCCCCACCCCCAATACCAGCTTGTTTTCCCTGCTCCTGCTACTTACCCAGGTGAATCCTAAGCAATTAATAGCATCTGCTAACATGTCTCCTAACAGAGATGGCCAGGAGGTCAGAGCTGGAAAATAGGCATGCATATGGGGACTCTGCCAGTGGACGACCTGGGAGAGAACATGCAGACAACATCAGAGGAGCACTGAGGTCCAGGTTCCTTCTACAACACCATGAAAGGACCTGGACAGAGGCCATGTACTCTTTCAAGCAAAATCCAAAGAGCATTTTCCCTCCATCAATTCCAAAGTCACCTGACACCCTTTATGTCCCAGAAAAGTCTCTGGTTAAACAGAAACAATCCGGTCCCATCCAATCCAAAGAGAGACAAAAAATGTGTGTATACATGAGAGGCAGTTTGGCATAATGGAAGGGTCTTGAAATCATAGAAAACTGAGAAGCTTACACAAACTTTGTGACCTTATGCAAATCAATTAACTTCTCTGAACCTTATGAAACTCTCTAAGTTAAATTCTACTGATGTGGAATTTTCACACCAAAGAAATTATTAGTTATGTACGTAACATAACCAGTCTTGCTACAATCCTGATATTTTACATTAGTAAGATATATTTCTTTTGAGCTGTGCCTTATTTTATGTCTCCCTACCTCATTATGGTATGTTTTAGAACCTCTGGGATAAAATATAAACTCCTCTGACTAGCATTCAAAGCTATTCACAACCTGGCCCATTTCTACCTTTCCAGGTGTTTGTACACATCATATTTCTCCATACATCCTATGATCTAGACATAAACTGTTCCAACCATAATGTACCTCATGTCTCCATGCTTTTGCACTACTAGCTGGTGCCCATGCCTAGAAGGCACTCCCCCCCTCCCATCTGCACTGCTGGAACATCCTGATTTTCTACAAGAATCAGTTCAAGCCTCACTTTTTACATAAAGTTTTTCCTGACTACGACCACCACTACCGCCACCCCCCCCCCAACACCACCTCGGGCGCTAGTACCCTTCCTCCCAAAACTACCTTATATTTATTCATGTATATGTTGAATCCCCTGATAGAATGTAAACTCCTTGGGACAGGAACCATTACACTTTTCTCTATAGCCCAAGAGCTCAGCACAGTGCCTGGCACACAGTAGACATTGATTAAATGTTCATTGATTGATTGATTGGTTGTAGCAGCACCACAGGGATGTGAAACAAATGCTCAATCAATTACACAATTCACAAAGAAGGACACTGAAGTGGACTCATGAATGCCTTTGGGATTCCTATATGTAATTCCCTGTGAATGAGCCCTCACTTGACCCACGGGCATAGTGGTGTTACATTGGGTATTTACATGGTGCTTTAGCTGCCCAGTGTCTTAGGTTGTTAAATATAATTATATATATAATATATGACATTATATATATATATATTATATATTTATAATTATTCCTATTTTTCAGAGAAGTTAAGCAATCCACCGAAGCTTACAACTAGTATGTGGTAGAGCCAATGTCTAAAATGAAATCTTCTTGTTTCAGGTTGAATATCCTTTCTATTATAACATGAAAGGAAGAGTTGGATAAGACCAAAAAGGAATCCTATATAGTGGTTCTCTGTAAAGTTTGCATTTGCCCCCCCAGGCTTCTTCATTTTCTCTCTCCAGTCTCTTCCACTATTTTTCCCACCCCATCACATCCCCACATCTTCTGCTCCAGTTTGGTCTTGTCTGCAATCCTGACACTTTCATTCCTGTTCCTATATCTTTGCTGGAGATAGCCTGCATCTAATAGTCCTCTCCTCTTCGTCTATCCAAAGTCAATGGATTCATCAAGGCCCTGTTCAAATCCCTCCTCCTCAGTCCTCTGATGACTCTAGTCCAGTGATGACCACACTGACCTCCCTATTCCTTTCTAAACTCCTATAGAACAATTTGTCCATATTGTACCCTAAGCTCTAATAGCTTAAAACTACACTAAGACTTTTGGAACATCCTGAATATCATGACATATATCCCTAACTTCCTAAAAAACACAGCTTAGGTGCTGCTTCATACCTACTTCCTTTCCTGTTGCCCCCAACAATTAGCACTCTCTCCCTCTTAGAATTACTTTGTATATAGTTTGCATTTATTTGTGTGTACATTGCATTTGCACAGTAGAATGTAATCTCCTTGAGGGCTTCTCTTCTGTTTTTACCTTTTTATTCCCAGTGCATAGCACATATCAGGTGCTAGACAAAGCATTATTGAAGTGATAAACATTTATTGAATTGAATCTCTTGACTTTGCTAAATTAACCCTCAGTGTGTGTACTTTTCTCTATAGATCTTAAAATAATAATAATAGTAATAACTAACATTTATATATAGTGCTTACTTTGTGCCAGGCACTGTGCTAAAATCCAGCAAATAGTACATTACCTTGCACATTGCAGTCAGAAAGACCTCATTTTGAAACTTGTGTCAGAGATTTGCTCAAGGTCACACAGGTAGTATCAGAGGTGGGGATTTGATTATAGATCCTTTGACTCCATTTCCAGGACTCCTTCTCCTGTACCTCACACAGGTCTTATCTCCTCTACTAGACCGTAAACCCACTGGGGCGAGGGAATGTATCTTACTCATCTTTATTCTCTACAGATGTCCACAACAGTACAGTTCACATAGCAGGCATTTAATGAATTTCTGTTGAATGGATAGATGGATGGATGGATGGATGGATGGATGGATGGATGGATGGATGGATGGATGGATGACGATGCTAACCAAACAGATGCCTCTAAGAGAGCCAAGAAATCAAGGAGCCATTGCCCCTAGACAGGTCTCAGGAGGCTGGTTCAGTCTTTGGGATTCAAGGTTATGCTCCATTATCATTCTTCAGCAGTAACTGTTGATGAGTGTTCCCTCTAACTGCTACCATCTAGTAGCTATATCAAGATATAGCTCCCTAGATAAAGTATCTAATCCTGATGAGACTTTATCAAAAACAGACAGACACTTATTTCCTAAGATAAGCATCCTTGACTCCGCCTGGCAGCAACCACTGGATTTCATTGCATCAAGTAAATCAGCTGTTTCCCCATCACTTTTTGACCGTTACTTTGCTTGCTTCCTTTAAGGCAGGGAGGCAGGAGATGACAGCTGCCAGATTACAGTTAGCAGAGGGGTCATCCTACAGAATGGAATCACTGATCATCTTATCCAGGAAACAGTTCCTCTTGATAAAGTTTCACTTGTGTTTTTTTAAAAATGGTATTTTGAAATTTGTTGGATGGTTAAAAAGCACTAGGATTATCAGAAGCTTCTTCCCTTCATTTCATCACCATATCTCAGTTTTATTTTATAGGATGCCCTTTACTGCACTCTCCATTCTACTTATAGTGGACCACCAGCTGTTCCTAGTAAACACGCCATCTGCCACCAACTTACTTTTGCATAGGCAGCCCCCCAAGTCTAGAAGGCATTCCCTCACCTCCAACTGGACTTGAACCTAACTCCCTTCACAGGACTGCTCAGTTGCCACCCCCATGGGTTTTTCCTGATCTCCACTCCACCACTCACTCCAGTTATTAGCACTTGTAATTACTTTTTTGGGGGGGGGGGTTAGGCAACGGGGTTAAGTGAATTGCTCAGGGTCACACAGCTAGTAAGGGTTAAGTGTCTGAGGTCGCATTTGAACTCAAGTCCTCCTGAATCCAGGGCCAGTGCTCTATCCACTGCGCCACCTAGCCTCCCCTACTTGTAATTACTTTTTATATGCTTCGTGTTTACTTATCTGAGTACATGTTCTCCTTCCCCATCCCACCCCACGCCCCAATATAGTAAAATGTAAACTCCCTGAGGGCAAGTACTTTTTTTAATACATCTTCAATGCTTTACATATAGTAGGGATTTTTTGGGGTCTCTATCTCTATTGCTTTATACATAGTAGATGCTTTTTGTCTCTATCTTCAGCACCTTGAACATAATCGATTTTTAATAAACGTTTAGGAAGTTGAATGGCTTTCCATGGCCACATGGGACATTACTTGGATCCAAGTATTCCATGCTGATAAAGCCATAGAACCACAGAAGAAACTTTGCTTTACAGATGAGGAAACTGAAACCCAGAGGGCAGGCATGGATGGATTGCAGCTATCATTACATTATCATTCTCCCTAACCCCATTTCTTCCAAACTTCTTTCTTACTGTGAAGAATACCATCATCCTTCAGTCATCCAGGTTCACCTAGGTATCATTTTCAATTCCTAATTTTCACTTGCTCCACATTTCCTTATTCAATTAGTTATCACATCTTGTGGGTTCTGCCTCCCCACCTGTCTCCCTCTCTTTACTCATACAGCCAGTCTTATCACCTCTCCCCTGGACTATTGCAATAGCCTGCTAATTGAGCCTCCTGCTTCTAGTCTTTCTCCATTCTAATCCATCCTCCACTCAGATGCCAAATTTTTCTAAAGCACAGGTCCGATTATATCACTCCCCTATTCAATAAAGTCTGCTGGCTCCCAATTGATTCTATGATCAAATAATTTTTCATCTTGATATTCCTTTTTTGTATTTGTATTTGTTTTTGTTTGTATTTTGTATTTATTTTATAATTACACAATTATTAGTACATGCTTATAATCTATTATAGATTATAGATTATTACTATAATCTAATATTATATATTATTATAAATTATAATTAAAAATAAGTAAATATACACATATTAGGAGTTTTGCTCAATATTTTGAGATCACTTTTTGAATGAAATGAAAAGTCAAGGGTTTGCCACCCACAGACCACTTTGCTTTCCTCTATTCCATAGATGCACACTGCACCCCCAACCCTGGTTCTATCACAAATGTGTTCTTTAAAAAATAAATTAATATGGACTCTTGGACCCAAGGGAGACAGGCAAAAGAGTGTAAGATAGTGTGCTTTAGCCAGCAGTTCAGTCCTGGGCAAATTACTTCACCTCTTTGACCTCAGTTTCCTCACCAATAAAATGAGGGTGTTGGATGAGATTAACTCCAAAGTCCTTCCAAATTCTGATACTGTTTTAATATGTTCTAAAGTCTCTTCTTGACTCAACATTCTGTGATTCTATGACATCAGTCCTCATAACTAGAAAAGTAACTTAGAGCATATACCCTACTTATTGGCAATGGGTGGGCAGACTGGGAGCTTGGTCAACAAAAGGCTTAGCTGACACTTGACATATAAAGAAAAGAGGGGAACAAATCAGTATTGTAAAATAGGAAGAACACTGGATGGGGATTCAAATCCTGACTCTGCCACTTACTATCTGACTTTCAGAAATTTCCCTCATCTACAAAATGAACAGTTTGGACTAGAAGACCCCTAAGGTCCCTTCCAGCTTTAAATCTACAACTGAAGATGACAAAGATTATTAATTGTCAATAATCTGCTCAGTCCAGCCCTAAAATTCCATACCCTGAGTCACCCAACTCAACAAGGCAAAGGAAGCATTGACAGTCACTGTCAACATTTCCGAAGTGCTGAAATTGTGTGTACGTTGTCCGCCTTGAATCGCTAGAAAATGCAAGTTAGGCATCACTTATGTCATACCAACCATCTGCTCCTATCCCATTTCTTACCCCAGGCATAATGATCTTCTCAATGTCTCCAAAGATGGTATCCCAGCTGTCTGGCTCCACAGGGGCATTGTCAGGCAGCTGGCTTCTCATGTAACCTGGCTGCACGTCAGGTGTAACCCGTCTCTCCCTCACAGTGCTCAGATACTGGAAAATGTAATCCACCATCTCCTTTCCTGGAAAGAGAGCAGAAGAGAGAGTACATATTGTGACCTAACCAGTACTCTTATATCATCATCCAGGCCTCATCATGCCTCTTTCTACACTCAAGAGCTATGCTAAGAGAAGCAGACAGAAAAAAGGGATGGCGAAGCACTCCCAACCCTGGTGGAACAGAAGATATCTTGTTTTTAGCTAACAATTTTTCCCTTTTTTTATTATGAACTTTAGGAATACCAAATAAAATGGGCATTTCCACATACTTAGTAGAACAGAAAGAATATTGTACATGAAACTTCAGATCTCTATTATATATGTTTACTTTTCAAGTATACAGTAAGTTTAACCTGTCATTTTTCAATGTTATCCTACTTGTCTGTGATTCTTTTTGGCCTGCTTTCTGTTTTCTCTGACTTTAAAAAAAATGTTTCAATGACCCTCTTTTCTTTCTTTTCCTTTTTTAAAAGCTTATCCTTATTCCTCATTGTCCTTCACCATTGGGAAATTAAAAAAGAAAAAAAATTCATGTAACAAAAATGCATAGTGAGAGTAAATCAAAATAAAGTCCTTCATTGGCTATGTCCAAAAACATATATCTTACTCTTTACTTTCAGGTGGCAATGTGCTGAATTTTTTTTGACACTTTCAGTCCACATGCCTTTCTCCCTTGAGGGAATATTTTCTATGTGCCCAGTCACAAAGACCTTGCATTGATTCTGCACCGCTCATTGCTCCCAAGAGAAAAAACCAATCTGATGCAGAGTAAAGTAAAAACAATTTATACAATAAAAATTAAGAACTAGAATAACAATTTATACAATAATATTATGGCAAAGATAAACAATTTTGAAAGACTTAAGAACTCTGATAAATTTAATGACTAACCATGAATCCAGAAGGACTGAAGATAGAAAATGCTACCCACTTTCTGACAGAGTCAATGGATTCAAGATGCAGACTGAGACATACATTTTTGGACATGGCCAATGGGGGAATTTATTTTTCTTGACCATGCACATTTGTTACAAGGATTTTGTTTTTTCTTTTCTTTTTTTTCCTTTTAAATTGGGAGAGTGGAATGTGAGGGTGAGAAAATAAATTCTTGTTAGTTAGAAAATAAAAAGAAAAAATTTTTTAAAGAAATAAGAAAAAATAAAGTAATCTCCCTTTTCATGGAACCAACCACAAGCCATGGACTAACATATAATTTACATAGATTCAATTATAAAATGCTCCTTAAAGAAACAAAGAATAACTTAAAATATGGAACATGTTCAGTGCTCATGACTGGTCTATGCAAATAAAATTAAAATGACAATACTAGAATATCATAAAGTTTATTTCCTCTCTGTTCTTATTCCACTGAAAAGAAATTTCAGAGTCCTAACTGCCATCTTTACCCAAAGCCATCTGAAAACAAAGAGTATGTGTAAGAACACCTGCACCAATACCCCATCTCTCTCTCTCTCTCTCTCTCTCTCTCTCTCTCTCTCTCTCACACACACACACACACACACACACACACACACACACACAACACACACGGAGTTCTCTGACCACACTCCTCACTCTTGAAATTACAGAAATTTCTCTAAGTCTCTAGGAGGCAGAAGATTTTAATTCTCTTATCATCTAAGAGGGGGAAAAGATTATATTTATTCAGCATTCTGGAGGGCAGAAGGAGGAATTCCCCAAAGCTGAGTTTTCTGGAGCCCATGATAAATATTTCCTTTTTGCTCCCCCTTCTTTCTCCACATCTGTTCCTAGTTTTCTACTTTCAAGTAAGTTCTCATTGGTATAATGTTGTATATTATGTATATAATGTAATAATTGGTATAATGTCCACGCAAAATTCTCATATGGTGATCCTGGGCAAAACTGTGAAACAAGCAGTTTGATCTAAGCATCTTCTCCCCCCTCCTCCCTTTTTCCCCCCAGTCCCTCCTAGAGGCATTCTTGCTGCCTGCCCCAGCCTCCTGAGAGCTCCCTCCAGTTCAGCACCACTTCCATTGACTTTCCCTTACTCTTCTGACATCTGGACTGATACTTGTGGTCTCCCCTCATCTCCCATGGATTCTCTTCTCAGAACAAACGCCCACAAAGAGGAATCTATTCTAATAGATAGATATCTTATAGATAATTGTCTTTTTCTGAAAGAAACCTGTTAAAATGAGTTTACACCAAGTTAGTATATTTCTATTCCTATGAGATATGTAAGAGAGGATTCCTTTGATCCAAAGGAATGATTCCCTCATAGTGGAATGTCAGGCAATAAGGCAGGTCAGTAGAGGAAATGTGTTGGGTTGGTAGCACAGGGGAAGGCTTTTTCGGAGCCCCATAAATTATGCAAGACAGGCTGTTATGTCATTCTTCTATGAAGGGTTCCCTAACCTAGGGACCATTAAATAATTAGATAGACAGATAGACGTGTGTGTATGTATGCATACACACACATACACACATGCATGTATGTTGCAAGACACATATGTATATGCATTCATATGTGTATACATATATGCAAGTATACACATGTATGTATAATTGTGTTTCAATATAATTGGCTTCCTTTGTAATGTTATGCATTTAAAAACATTACTCCGAAGAGTCCATAGGCTTCACCGGACTGCCACAGGGTTCAATAACACAAGAAGGATGGTCTTGAAGCAAGACTATGCTTTGAGAAGAGAAGACAGTAAGATCTGCTCTGGGAATATACTTATATGTGGAATGAGAAGGAAGAGAAAATATTTTGTGTGAGATATATATATATATATATATATATATATATATATAATATATATATATTTCCATTTTTAGAGCCTCTGGATAAAATATAAACTCCTCTGATTAGCATTCAAAGTTATTTACGACCTGGCCCATTTCTACCTTTCCAGTCTTGTGTATATTATACTTCTCCATGCATTCTATGATCTAGACATATACTGTTCCCAACCATAATATACCCCATGTCTTCATGCCTTCTCACTAGCTTGTCCTCACACCTAGAATGTACTCCTTCCTCACCTGCATCATTTGGAAACCCTGGTTTTCTTCCAGAATTAGTTCAAGCTCCACCTTTTACAAGAAGTTTTTCCTGACCACTACCCCCCCACAGCTGCCCTTCCTCCCAAGACTATCTCATATTTATTTGTGTATATGTTGTCTCCCTGATAGAATGTAAATTCCTTGGGGTCAGGAACCATTACACTTTTTAGAGTACTGAGCAAATAATTTTCTGTTTAGTGGATTTAGAATATAAATCTTCAATTCTCTTTGGGAGGTGGAGAGCCAGATATATTTGCCTCAGTGTGAGGAGTACAGTGAAAGGAAAGAGAGGGAGAGTGGAATGGGGGGAGAGAGGGAGAGCGAAAGGGAAAGGGAGAGCAAAAGGGAAAAGGAGAGGGAGAGGGGGAGAGAGAGAGAGGGAGAGAGAGAGAGAGAGAGAGAGAGAGAGAGAGAGAGAGAGAGAGAGAGAGAGAGAGAGAGAGAGAGAGAGAGAGAGAGAGAGAGAGAGAAAGGAAGGGAGGGAGGGAAGGAGAGAGAGGGAGGAAGGGAGGGAGGGAGGGAGAGAGAGGGAGGAAGGGAGGGAGGGAGGGAGAGAGAGAGAGAGAGAGAGAGAGAGAGAGAGAGAGTCCAATCTCACATTACTTAGTCAAAAACAATACTGTACACTATAATTATACTCCCAAAGTTCACTGCTCACCACGAGGAATCAGGGCTGCCCAGCAGATAACTCTAGGTGAAAGAGGCATACACAGCAATATACACAACCATTTACCTCTTTCTCTGTATTCCCTCAGATCCATGATGTGTCCCTGAGTCTCCTGCTCCTTTTACAATCAAGTTCACTTTTGTCCTGATGTGCAGGGTCACTTGCAGGAGGCTTTGAGCAGTAGCACAGCTTCCTCGAGGGACTCTTCAGGTTCCTCAATCTCCAGGCAGCTTTTATTCCTCCTTTATCTAAAGGACTCACGTCATAGGAGGCAACATCTCCATCTCCTCTGTATCAACCCCACCCCTTTGTCCCCTTCAGGATCTATTTGCGTGTCCTTCTAGACCTTTGATGCTTCTGGGTATATATTTTTTTCCTTTTCAGTAATCTTTTCCTCTGACATTAAATAAACTCTTGCCCCACTCCACCCCCATCCCCACTTCCACTCTCTTTTTTGTGAGTAATGTCTAGGACCCTAGCTTGTCAAGATAAAAAAGAGTTTCTGAATGAAACAATATGATTAAAAACCAAATATGAGTACCATTTCCCAGTCAATGTGGTTGGACAGCCCCCCAGATCACTCTTGTATGTGATTCTTATGGTCAGTGGAATCTCAGTTGACAAAACATCATACAGCCTTATTAACAGTCACCTGATCATTAGTTTTATCACAAACTGGACCATAAGAAAAGCTGATTTCATTCATTCCATTACCGTCCCATTCTCAGAATGGAAATAGGGTTTGGCATCATATATTTCTGCTAACAAAGTTGTGATCGTAAAAGAACAACCGATTCTCAACTTTGCTCAAAGCTCAAACTGAACCATTATACATACAAACATATATATACTATATAGATATACACATATTTAATACAAAATGTTGCGTGTTTGAGAGTGCTTTAGAAATTATAATAGCTTGAATACAAGTAAAAAAAACCCGGGCAGCTAGGTGGCGCAGTGAATAGAGCACTGGCCCTGGAGTCAGGAGAACCTGAGTTCAAATCCAGACTCAGACACATAATACTTCCTAGCTGTGTGACTCTGGGCAAATCACTTAACCTCAATTGCCTCACTAAAAAAAAAAAAGCCCAAAGTTTAGGAAAAATAAACAAGTTGGAACCATTGGGTTCTCAACTCTATTAGATATTAGGATGGTAGCTGAGGCCTTTCCCCCAAAACTGACATCATGCCTCAACTTTCCTATTGTCATTCAACCAATATTTATTATGTGCCAAGAATGAGCAAGGAACTGTTATGCCCTATAGAAGACGGCAAGATACAATCCCTACCTTCCATTTTACAATCAAGAAGGAATTAACGGCCCCATCATCATCCTAGTTACCCAGTTGCATTACAACCTTCCAGTTCCTTTTTTTGATTCTCTCAGTCCTTTATCCTTTATATCCACTTACCCAAATCCTTTGGATTCTTCCTTTCCCAGGTCTCTTCACTGTCTCTTTCTCTCTAACCTTATCCCTGAATGTCTTCAATATTGCCTATCCTCCCATTTCTCATCCATCCTAGATACTACTAATGGAATAAATTTCTAAAGTTTTACTGTTATTTTCCTTCTCCCAACAGCACGCAGAGCTGTTTTGTTATGTCAAATCAACATAGACACCTCACTCTGATGTTTAAGGACTTCTCTCAATTGGCCACCCCCAACTCACCCCTACCACCATTACCACATCCCTACAAGCTGTCTCTGGTATTTCTTTATCACATCCTCTAACCCAACTAAAATAGTCTGCTTGCTGTCCCCACATCTGGTTTCCTACCTTCATGATCTGATTAAAACGGAGTAGAGTAGGATCCGTTTCCATGTATGTTTTCCCCCTCTTGATGCACAATCACACTGGGGGTTCACACAATGGGACTATACTGCTTGTTATTGTTAAGTTGTTTCAGTTGTGTCTTTACTGCTTTTCCACGCTCAATTTTTGGCAATCAGAAGACACTAATTCCTTCCCAAAATACCCCAAAGCCCTTTCTTTTTCTTTTGTACTTATGTTTAACCAGTCTTTTCTCATTCTTCTTGTCTTATGCATTTTGATCCTTGAACGAAATACCTTATATTTTCCCCCGGTGAATGCCACTGTTTTCTAGTTTGTTGTTGTTGTTGTTGTTTCCCATCTTATCAAGGTCATTTTTTACTTTGTACATATTTCCAAGGTATTTGCAATTCATCTACTTTAGTCTCACCTCCATATTTCATAAGAATATTTTAAACTCTATTATTCATGTCCTCAATAAAGGTATTGCACGGAACAGTCCCCAAAGATGACTCAATTCAATTCAGTTCAATGAATATGTTTTAAGCAATTGCTGCATTCAGAGAACTATGCCAGGCACTGACAACCAAAATTTAGGCAAGACAATGTCCTTAAGCTCATGTAGTTTATAGTCAAATAGAGAAGTTTAATAAGTTGACACTTTGGTATAGGTATTCTCTTTAATGGTATAGTAATACAAACCATCCATGCTCTTTCCCTATCCTTGCACAGATTCTACACAAATAACTAGCAGAATGTGAGCTCCTTCTAGTTTTTGTTGTCTTCTTATCCCCAGAGCCTAAAACAGTGCACTTAAATTAACAAGACTGGGGATGAGGAAAAGAAACCACAGGGAGATGATGAGTAGACCATTGGGCTGTAAAATAAAATGCATTGGGCTGTGAAAAAGTAGAATGAAATGAGACTGGAAAGGCAGGGTGATATCAGATTATAGAGAGCTTTGAACACCAGACAAAGAAATTTGAACTTTATTTGATTAGCAATAGTAAAAACAGCCATTGGAGGATTCTGAGCAAAGTAACACATCCAGATCTGATTATCTGGCAGGAGTGTAAAGGCTAGATTGAAGTAGGGAGAGAGAAAAGGCAGGAAGACTTATTACAAAGCTATTTTAATAGCCCAAGTCAGTGACAATAAGAACCTGTACTGGGTGCTGGTAGTAAGATACATACGAAGACACACACACACACACACACACACACACACACATACATACATATACACATACGTACATCCATATATGTGCGTGTGTGCATTTCTCTAGGCTAATAAAGAATCATTGTCAACCACTCTTCGGATTTTTACTTCAAATCAATTCATTCACATTAAGTCAAGTAATCACTGAACTCCTAAATTATTAGGATTGTAGGGTTTTTAAGCAAGAAGGTACTTTAAAGATCATATAGTCCAATTCTCACATTTTGTAGTGATGGAAAGCTCTAAAAGTCAAAATTACAGTTTCCTAGTTTACTAAGGAGATCACTGAACCATATCACACCTCTGCCCAGAAATCTTCACTGGCTATTTTATGCCTCTAGGACAAAATACAAAGGCCTTAGCCTGGCATTTAAAGTCGTCTACAATCTAGCTTCTAGTTATCATTCCAGACTTATTTCATGTCATTTCTCTTCCTGTACTCCACATTTCAGACAAGTGGCCTTGTAGTTCTTCCCCCGAATAGTCATTCAACAAGTATTTATTAAGTACTATGTGCCAAAGCATTGTGTTAAACATTGGGAAAACAAAGAAAAGCAAAAATGCTTTCCCAACTCTCAAGGAGCTAACAATCTAATGGTGGAGAGAATAGTAAATAACCATATATATATGTAAGACATATACAGAGTAGATGGAAGGTAATCCCAGAGGGCAAGTCACTAGGAGCTGAAGGAACTAAGAAGGACCTCCTGCAGAAAAGGAGCCAGGATTTGAGTTGAATCTTGGAGGAAGCCACTAAAGCTAGGGGGCAGAAGTGAGGGGGCACAGCATTCTAGGTACTGGAAGCAAGCAAATACAAAGGTATAAAAGGTTAGAGGTGGAGTCTCATATGCTAGGAACATGCAGTAGGCCAGTGCAGTCAGACCACAAAGTTCACGGAGGGGAGCAAAATATAAGACTGGAAAGATAGAGAGGGGTCAGGTTATAAAGGGCTTACTATTTGATCCTGGAGTACCAGGGAGGCACTGGAGCTTACTGAGCAACGGGGTGACATGGTCAGACTTACATTTTAGAAAAATCACCTTGTTGAGTGGGGAGGCAAGGATACCAATTAAATAACTGTTGCAAAAGTCTAAGGGAATAGTGACAATGGCGGCATATATGAGAATGGGGCATATATGAGAAATGTTGTGAAAGTAGAAACGAGATTTGACAACAGATTAGACTGTAGGGTGAGTTCAAGTAAGAAGTCAAGGCTGACAGTGAGGTGTGCACCTGGGTCACTGGGAGGATGGTGGTACCCTTGACAGCGACAGGGAAATTGGGAAGAAAGGGTTTGGGGGAGGGAAAATGAGCTCTATTTCAGACATAATGAGTTTGAGATGCCCATGGAACAACTAGTTCAAGATGCTCAAAAGGCAGTTGATGAAATGAGAGCTCAGGGGACAGACCAGGGCTAGATATACACATCTGGGACTTCCTTCTTGCCTCTTTCTCTCACTTCCCCTTAAAGTCTCAGATCATTCCAAGAATCCATCTCAGACAGCTAGGAGACTGAAAGACCACCAGAGGCACCTTCCCCCTTTACTACTCTCCATTTCCCTGACTGTTTGACTTCCACAGGGATTAGATGAGATTTAAGTCAACAACTCTATACCTTCCAATATGATGGAGAACCAGCCAGCCTCATCATCTATCTTGCCACTTCCTCCAGAAGTCCTACAGGTTTTACTATATGTCCTGCCTTTATGTCTTGCAGTCCACCAGCACTGCATTATGATCTACTGATGTAACCTAAGGGCCTTTGAACTATGTCATTCATGTTACTGCTACATTCTTAGACCTCTGGGTCTTGCCATCTTGCCTTTTCTACTTGTATCCCCAATACAAGCACAGTATTCAGCACATAGTCAATACTTAAGTGCTTTCTCATTCATTCATCTGAATAAAGATAACAGCTGGACAAGGTAGCCAGTGAGTCACCAAGTAAAAGAGTATAAAGGAAGAAAAACAGAGGGCCCAGAACAGCTCTTGGGGGAGGTATCCATGCTTAGTGTACTTGACCTAGATGAAGCACCATCATGGGTTACTGAGAAGGTGCAATTAGACAGATAGGAAGAGAATCAGTAGAGAATAGTGTCACGATAACCTAAACAGAAGAAAGTATCCAGACAGTAATGGTGTCAAAGAATGAAGAGGGCTCAAAAAGTATATGAAGACTGAAAAAGGCCATTAAATTTTC